TTTGATTTAATAGATTTTTTATCCTTAGCCGATTTAGAGATGGACTTTGTTTAATCTTCGGGTGAAGTTATGTCAGTTGAATTTCTAACACACTGTATAATGTTTTCTGGAGGTAATAAATGCTCTTGCATATGGAAAATATTTATAATGTACGATGACGTTGATTTTTGCGTCAAAATCAGCGCTCTATACTGCATGCGATGGCGTACTTCCACAACATTATTATGAAATACACAACCCTTTCCTTAATTGCTAAAATAATTCTAACTCGGCGCTGTGCGGACACTTAGGTACACATTCTGTATGCCTGGCTTATTTTCCACACAATTAAGTTAAGAGGAACGCTTTTATGCGTGCACATACAAGGAAGCCAGTGAAGCGTAATGGAGAGATGCCAGGCAATTCAAGCTGTACCATAAGCTGTGGAAATTAACAGCGCGGAAGTACAGATGCTTCCGTTTTTCGAAACAGATACACCGCATTGTCGGTATTATTCCGCGCAATATCCTTTGAAATGTTCTTTTGTCTATTTGCGAATCCCTTCATTTGCACGTTTTTCCGTACATTCCTCTTCGCAGCGTTTTGGTTTGTTCTGTTTTTGCTTTGTGTTCTTTCAGCTATAGGGTTGCTGGTATCCTAGTTGACGCACAATTCTCTTTTCATACTGCCGTATTGTATAATACTGTGTAGGTTGTATAATGCATACCTTTTCTATGCGTGTTTTCGATGTCAGGGTATCTCTATTATTATTAAAGATAGAAAGTTGTTCCCATATTTATTTAGCCATACCCATATACAGGTCTGGTCGAATTAAATGCCGGCAAACGGCGCACAAACACAGCCGCACTGGGCGACCGGCCATAAATTTCAGTCGTTGACAAATTGTCCAGCAGTGCAGTACAGTAATATATTTTATTGAAAATGTAAAAGTTTTTTGATTATGTCATAACCAAAAATTTCCATCAATATAATAAAATTGTTTGAGGACATAAATAATTAAAATATGTATGAAATTTTCTACACGTTATATATAAATTATTATTTTTTACCTTTAGCAGAAAACTTTTTAGGAGCGCCTATGAAACTCATTCAATTTTATTGCTAGGCGTTTTTATACATGTTTTGCTAAATATATTCATTTTCTATTTTTCTGTAGGATATACATAATGTTAAATAAATACTAATAAAATATCACTTCATAACTTTGAAAGGGGGAGTCATTTTTATACGGAGACTATTTTTGACCTTTAAAAACACATGCTAAGTTTGTTCTCCCAAATTGGGTCATTTGCCATATTTTTTTACTTATTCTTTATTTCAAAAGATTTAATTAAAATATACAACACATATTTCGTCGTTTGTTTTTGATATATACAATATATGATGACGGAGAAACTAGATATTTATGTATTAGCACTATGTGTATACAGGGTGTATCCTAAGTCTATGTCATTTTAGGGCCAAAAGCCTTTATAAATCAGGGCCCTAAAGTTACTTGTTTCCAAGACAGAGGGCGTTGTAACCGCTACAAGAGTCATTCGAAATATTAAAATTTTGTACTAGGTCTCGAATCGATTTTCAATAGCAAATTCATGGGTTTTACCTTTGTTTTACGCATTAAATTTTATTGAGATAAAGAACAATGCCGCAGTTGCATTTAACAATAAACAATATATATAGTAGGTACAAACAGAATTTTTCATTATTTCAGTGACCTTATTGCATAATTTGATGACTAATGTAAATATTACACTTACGACTAAAATGTCGAAATATGTAACAACCGTCCAAATGCAATCGTTTTACTCGTATTTAGGTTTCAACTATAAATGTAGACGATTAATTCATAGTAATAGTGCAATGTAACAAACCGACATCAAATGTTGTCTGGAATACTCTTCAAGGTCTTTGTGTAGCAGGACCGTCAAATCACCGTATTCGCTTTACTATTCTATTGATTTTCTCCCCCGTTTTGGCCTTTTCTTTGTCAGTCCAATTTAAATTATTTGATGCTTTAATTTTGATAAGCACGGAACGTCAGGGATGACCGTGAGGCCTTGTTATATGTATTGTGTGTAACCGAGTTCGATTTTAGTAATAATCTGCACATAAACTTTGATAAAAATTAAATTTACACGGCGGTTCGCAGATAATTAGCGTGAATTAATTAATTCTTACAAAGCCTTTCGAACGATATGATGTAAAAAATTATGTTAATGGATTTTTATAAAATACAGGATTAGGTTGCGGTGTTGCCAAGTTATTAGAAAATTCTTTGTTAATACATTTTTATTGACGCCAACTCTAAATTCGAGAAACAGTTTTTTTTGTGACATTGAAAATCCATAAAACAGGAAAACAGGCATTGTAGCTAACTCAACCATTCATAAATTAACTTTTACGTTTTATAATAAATGTGTGTGGTTGTGTAGTGTGTACACACAAATCATGTTCTATTTAAAAGAGGACACTGACTCCTACATTGGCCTCCACTTTTTGTCTAGAATCAAATTAGTTTATAGGCGAACTTGCGTCTCAAGGATTTAACATTCTCTCTTGACTAGTTCTGTAGAAGCTTCGCCTGCTCCTACAGAAAATGTGTTTCACACGTGCGACAGTTAGGGATTCGTGTTGGGAAATGTAAAAACTATTTCCTGTGTAAATGGTACCTAATAATAAGATGTGTACAATTGTACATGTTATTGATTACATACAAATGTAGATTGTAGACATGTCGTCGATATATTGATTTATTCTACGTCCATTTTTTTTAATTGATGTATTAACGCCGTAAGTTATATTTAGAATTGCTTCGATCTATCCTTTAAAAATGCGACGAATATTTAAATTAAATAAACAGGGGAATATCATTTTTATTAAATTACATAAGAAATCCATACAATAAAACTACTTATTTTATTACACTGTGATACATGTCATTATTGTCTTTAAATTTTTATAATTCAAAAATGGTAGCTGTTATTGTAATAAACAAAGCGGTTAATATTTTAATTCAGAATATAGCATTCAATTCAACTCCTACATTTTGCTTAAGAATGTTTTTTGACATACTATATTGAGTCCTAAATATATCTCGAGACAATATAGGACCACCCTGTATTAAGTAACGATGTTCGGCAAATACACAAAAAACATCGTGGCAAACAAAAAACATTTAAGTACAATTTATGTTTGGACCATGTATTTACAAAGTATAAATAACTGCCTGCTTAAACTCAGGGTCAAGGAGATGGAACCTCAAAAAAAGTATATCTCATTAATATTCTGCACCAGTTACACCACACGCCACACAGTTTCCTTTTATCACCGCAGGATCAGGATATGCAACAAACTAACCTAAACCTAAAAATAGAAAGACAGCAACTGGGTTAAACATATGATTGATAACGATAGCATGAAATACAGATGGCAAAGTTAACACTCTCATAGATAGGAATAAAAAAAATATAAATTAACATAATGTTACAGGAAATGGATACATATCTTGGATCCCGGAAATATGAAGCTAAGGAAAGTGAACATAAAAATTTCAAATTAAATTTGTGAACGAATTTACAAAAGGGACCTTTTATATTTAATATTTTATTGAAAGGCTTCTACAGGGTGTATAAATTATTGGAAATAATGGAGTCCTTGTTCAGTTTTGTGACGGGGCGTTTCATATGAAATTTTTCAATCGGAAGTTCCGTTAGTCCCCCAGAAAGTTACAACTCCTTTGTGGGGTAAAAACCGTAATTTTTTTACTTTTCTCAAGAACAGCTGCGGTTAAAAAAATACATTTCACACAGACTTAATATTAAGGAGACGCCATATATCAATATATTTTCCCGCTTTTTTCTCTGTACAAGGTGTCTTAGTGAAAGCTGCTGCCATCATTAGAATTTTGAGATTTCCGCAGTGGTGGAGTTTTAACAGTTTTTATTATTAATTTTAAACACCGCTTTGCAAATTCAACGGTTTTGATTATTCAAAATGCTTATTATTACCAATAAAAATCCTCTTCAAGTTTGTGTAATCACCGTACATATTTTACAATTTTTAACTGTGTAAAATTTCTTCACTATAGTAAATAAATCTTTATAGAAGTAATATTGTTTAATTCAAGAGATATTTTGATACAAATATACAGGGTGTATCTAAATAACACCGATAAAAATCAAGGGGCGATTCTCCGATGAAAATTAATAGGGGTCTTTGGTATAAAATTTTTTGAAAAAACCCTCCCCTGAAAAGTTACGCCCCTCCTAAAATTACAAAAAAAAATTGTTTTTCTTTTTTATCTTCCATGTACATCAAGCTAAAGAAACCAAACTTGGTGAACATTATCTGTCAATAAAACTACACTTTTTGAAATTTTTTCAACCCTGAACTATTTTTGTAAGGGGTTGAAATAATCAACCCCTATGACATTTTCGGCAAAATACACTCGCGTTAAACAGCTCATCTTTTTAAAAATACATTACAATACATTTATTTTTTATTTTGTCATAAATCCTTAACTTTTCGAAGAAACTTGAAGAGATCAAAAAGTTAGTAAATGAATGGGGTTTTTTAGACATATTTTTTAAAAGGAAAAAATTTTATCGAAAAAAAAATTATAAGAAAAAATGTCATAGGGGTTGATTATTTCAACCCCTTACAAAAGTAGTTCAGGGTAGAAAAAATTTCAAAAAGTGTAGCCAACCAAGTTTGGTTTCTTTAGCTTGATATACATGGAAGATAAAAAAGAAAAACAATTTTTTTTTGTAATTTTAGGAGGGGCGTAACTTTTCAGGGGAGGGTTTTTTCAAAAAATTTTATACCAAAGACCCCTATTAATTTTCATCGGGGAATCGCCCCTTGAATTTTTTCGGTGTTATTGAGATACACCCTGTATGTAGTTGTGTGTATTCTTGGTTCAAGAAAATTATTTTGCTTGTTTGTGCATACTTTATTACGATAAATCTTATGTTGAGGATAATTTTTGTCTTTTGTTTTAGGTTCTGGAAAATCTTATACCATGATGGGATCTCAAGATAACAAGGGCATTATTCCAAGACTTTGTGATGCCCTTTTTGGGCAAATAGCTAAACAGCAAAGTTCAGAATTATCATACAAGGTTGAAGTTAGCTACATGGAAATTTATAATGAAAAGGTATGTGTATATTGTTTTCATTGTTTTTACCCCTACAAGTTCATTTTATTTATACAGGGTGTTTTGAAAATAATGTAAGAAATTTCTGTGGAAGATATACCAGGTGCTCGTTTCTCGAGCTGTGTCATGCTGATCTCAGTTATCACACACACACACACACACACACACATACACCATAGAAGGTCAAATTAGGGCAATGTTGCATAATTTAATGATGAATAACATCCCAAACAGACTTGTAACATAACATTAACACCTTATATCTTGGAAACAAAAATGATTTTTTTTTCTTATTTTTTTCAAGTACATTCTACAAATATATTCTACAAATAAAAACACGTAGGAATTTGTCTCCTTGCCACCTATAAATCCTTATATAATGTAAATAAGGCCAAAGACTTATTAAATTCAAAGTTTAATGACTTGTTGACTCTGCAAACAGAAAGGGCCATATTTTTAATCAAAACAGCTAATTTATAAAGACTAAAAGCTACTGATTCTGCTGGGACACCTATATAAAGGAATGGCAGATATTTACTTTAGAAAATTTCATTTTACGGAATTTGAAGTATGGGTTTAGGTAAATATTTTTATAGAGGGTTTTACTGCCCCTTTAGATATATTGGACAAGGGAAAGTAAAAAATTTCAGGGTAATGAACTTCGGTCGATATTTTTTTCTCTTCATTGCTATTGTTTTTGTAATAGATTGAAAACAAAATTAATACTTGTTTATCAATATTTCTTGCTAATATTTCTAAACTATATGATTTTGTACTTTATAGAATCTTCAAGTTAATAGCCATTTTCTTTTGGCCTGTAATTTCAAAATTGTATTGAGAAATCAAGTTAAATAGACACAGCAGTTTACAAAATCACAGTATATAGAAGAACAATAAGTTCTATCTAACCGACTTATAAAAAATCAATTTTTACTTATTTCCAATAATTACTGATATACCGGGTGTTGCATAGACAAATTCCATGTACATAAGTTAAATTCACTTTCATGTATATGTTCTTTGTATTTCGTAGTTTTTGTATTGAGTGGTTGCAGGAATTATTTTACTTCTAGGTACATGATTTGCTGGATCCACAGACACACAAACAATCATTAAAAGTAAGAGAGCACAACGTGTTGGGTCCTTACGTTGATGGTTTGTCACAACTGGCTGTTACTTCGTTTCAAGTAAGTACTAATTGTAATACACTTTATAAAACTTATAAGTACAAGTAGCACAAGGTTGCAGTTAAGGTGTAGTATTTATTCCACTCACAAGGAACCTAACCTAACTTAACCTAATATATAAAAACATTTTGAAATAGGACATCGACAATCTGATGGCAGAGGGCAATAAATCCAGAACAGTGGCAGCCACAAATATGAACAGTGAATCATCAAGATCTCATGCCGTATTCACAGTCATATTAACCCAAACTTTAACGGACTCCAAGAGCGGAGTCTCCGGGGAAAAAGTCAGCAGGATGTCACTTGTGGATTTGGCAGGTTCCGAAAGGGCTGTGAAAACAGGAGCTGTTGGCGAGAGACTGAAAGAAGGTTCTAACATTAATAAGTGAGTGAAGACAATTTGAATTATGTTTTTGGGTATTTTGCCACAAACATTTCAAATGAATAAGTCCTTGCACCGACAGGGTCAGTCTAGGGGTTGATGCAATGTTGCCAAAGCTAAATCAAACTCGGAATTTCACACATATATTTTAGGATATAACGACCCAAACCAAAACCAAAACCATCATACTTAAATATCAGCACTAGCTGTGAAAACCTTAAAACCACATTTTAATTGCAGTTGAAAGAAAATACATTATTGTAGCAATCTGCTGTAATTTTTATTAATTCTTAGTGTTTTTATTACCATGTAGTAAAATTATAATAACCAGGAATTAGTGGATGTTCTGCTGATATGTATGGTGAATGTAGACAAAATGTTGCAGCTGCAGAACAAATGGACACAAATTGTTTTATACTTCTTTATGCATCAAATGTTACAAAATTTGTAATACTTATTCAAGCAGTATGTGGTCCTGGTTGTAAATAAGTGTACCAAATCAACCCTTTGCCTGATTCGTTTAAAATGTTTAAGTTTGTTTTCTTTTCAGTGTGGCAAAACATCAAATTTAATAAAAATAATAACTTTAATTATATCACGTTCTAATTGCTTCTTTGTAGGTCTTTAACAACATTGGGTCTAGTCATATCAAAGTTGGCTGATCAGTCATCTGGCAGCAAAAACAAAGATAAATTCGTACCGTATAGAGATTCAGTATTAACATGGTTACTAAAAGACAATCTTGGTGGTAATAGTAAAACGGTGATGGTGGCTACCATTTCACCAGCCGCCGATAATTTTGAGGAAACTTTATCGACTCTCCGATACGCCGATAGAGCTAAACGAATAGTCAATCACGCTGTCGTTAACGAAGATCCTAATGCCCGAATTATTAGGGAATTGACGCAAGAAGTGGAGGCGTTGCGAGAAATGTTAAGAAATGCAACGGTAAGTCGTATATAAGCACACACCGCGATACAAATAAAGCATAAATTTATTGGCTTCTCCCAAAATTTTATCGACAAACAATAAAAAATTTTTAATTTTTATTTATTATTCTATTGCATATAAAAATTTTAGGTATGTAGTTGATGTACTTTTTAATTTTTAGGGATCGCCAGTGGGTGACGTTCAGAGAGTTGACATCCATCAAAAACTTAGCGAAAGCGAACGGCTATACAAGGAAGTATCCCAGACTTGGGAAGAAAAGCTCATGAAAACAGAAAGAATACAGAACGAAAGGCAACAGGCGCTCGAAAAAATGGGTATCAGCATTCAAGACTCCGGCATCAAAGTTGAGAAAAATAAGTATTACTTAGTCAACCTCAATGCCGATCCATACTTAAACGAATTACTAGTTTACTACTTAAAAGAACGCACTGTTGTTGGCGCGAGCAACACTGATTCGGGACAGGAGCCCGATATTCAGCTGTCGGGACTCGGTATTCAACCCGAGCACTGCATTATCACCATAGTGGACAACAGTCTGTTTCTCGAGCCTCTTGCCAATGCCAGATCTTGTGTGAACGGCTCTCAGGTCAATCAGAAGACACAGTTGAGACATGGAGATCGAATCGTTTGGGGAAACCATCATTACTTCCGAGTGAACTGTCCGAGATCAATATGTAAGTCCGTTTTAGTAACGTAACCGTTGAGATAATAAAAATTATTTTACAGCAGCCTCTGAACCTCAGACCCCAGCTCAAAACATAGATTATAATTTCGCACGGGATGAACTCATGACCAATGAACTCAGCAATGATCCCATACAGGCAGCTATCGCTAGGTTAGAGAAGCAACACGAAGAAGACAAACAAGGTGAGGTGTTTTTCAAACCCCAGAACGAGCATGGTGATAAATGATTACATTAAATTTTTACCCTAGACTCCAGGTCTAAAATAGTAAGCAATTAGTCATAAATTAAACCACACATTTTAATCTGATAAAATAGTCGTGTGTATTCTCTGCATGAAAATTGTAATGTGCTATTCATTTCGCATAGTGTTCCAATATGTTCAGTCTCAGTGCGTGCACTTGGAATGTTCTATTTTTACTAGCGTGTATTTCTAGTATTGATCATAGTGTATGAAAGGTGGGAGTTTCCAGTTGAGACATGTCGGTGCATATCATAGGCATACAAGTGTGTATTGTGTTAACTTTGATCTCAGTTTCAGAGTTAACATTTTAGAAAAATACTTTTTTGTCATAAATTGTAAAAATACCTTCAAATTAAAAAAAATGGTGGCAGATACTTTTTTTTACTTTTAAAATAATTTAACCATACAAAAAATACCTTCCTCCAATTTTTATCACAATCTGTTTTGGGATTTAAGTTATAGAAACGATTAAAAAAATTTAATATGACAAACTATTTTCATCAGTTGCATGAATAAAATCACCATTATTTTTAGTGGCTTTGGAGAAGCAACGTATAGAGTACGAAAGACAGTTCCAGCAGCTAAGAAACATGGTTTCGCCATCTACACCTTACGCTCCCTATTCCTACGACCCTCTTAGAATAGGTTTCGGCAAAACCACACCTTGCACTCCCACGACTCAAATGAAAGTGGAAAAGTGGGCTCACGAACGAGACGAGATGTTTAGAAGGAGTATAGGTCAGTTGAAGGAGGACATTTTAAGAGCTAATTCGCTGGTGAAGGAAGCTAGTTTTCTGGCCGAGGAAATGGGGCGACAGACCAAGTTCAGCGTCACGTTACAGATTCCCCCGGCCAATTTGAGTCCAAACAGAAAGGTAATGATCGAATATCTATTACGTGTCTAATTTATCGGTAATGTGATTTTTAGAAAGGAGCGTTCGTGAGTGAACCGGCGATATTGGTTAAACGAAGTAATACTAGTCAAGTGTGGTCGATGGAGAAGTTAGAAAATAAAATTATCGACATGAGGGAACTGTATGAAGACCAGATGAGTAAAGGAGAGAATCAGGACGAGATAAAAGGACCCGATCCCTTCTTCGAATCTCAAGAAAACCATAACTTGATAGGGGTAGCAAATATTTTTCTTGAGTGTTTGTTCCACGATGTTACTTTGGATTATCACGCTCCCATCATAAGTCAGCAAGGGGAGGTGGCTGGCCGCTTACAGGTAATGCTCTTGAACTAAATTCTATTTTGAAATGCTTGAAAGTTGAATGACCCGTCAAAATGCATCTGTGGGTAGGTAATGCCTGATCGCTGATCACGAATCCGAGGTCAATTTAGTAAAATTCAAGATGGCGGATCCAAGATGGCTGACCAAATATTAAAAAAATATCACATTCGCGCCAAATTTGGTATACGGGGGTTTTCGGTGTCACTGATAACGAATCCGAGATTAGATTTACAAAATTTGTTCTTAAAAATTTAATGAATTACCTATGTACTTTATTACCTGAGATTAGGCAGAAAACCAGTGAATAGATCAATTACAGACAAATTAACAAGATATAGCGGAAAAAAAAGGATAAAACATGATTGGGTACTCAGGTTAAAAAGTAAACAAAAATATTACTTAATGAATTTCGCAGTTCTGACCTCGAATACGTAATTAGCGACACACCGAAAACCCCGTATACAAAATTTCGCACGAATCTGTTATTTTTTGAAAATTTGGTCTGCCATCTTGGATGCGCCAACTTGAATTTTGCAAAATTGACCTCAGATCCGTGATCAGCGACCCCGAAAACCCCCGGATACCAAATTTGGCGTGAATGTTATTTATTTTTTGAAAATTCGTAATATCTGACCTTAATAACAAACCGATTTTTGTTTTGTTAAAGGTGGAACTAAGCAGAGTGGCCGGTTCATTTCCACAGGATAGAATCTGTGAGGCTGCGTCAGACAGTTCGTCTGAGAGCAGTCAAGAAGAAGAGGAACAAGGTAGTTCACAGGTCACAATACGTGTTCACATAAAACAAGCCACTGGATTGCCCATATCTCTTGCCCATTTTGTGTTCTGTCAATATTCTTTTTGGAACCATCCGGATCCTATTGTAGTACCTGACGCAACCGATGCACACGGTCAAAAACAACCAACAACTGTCAGATTCGAACATATACACGATTTCACTGTTAATCTTTCCGAGGAATATATAGACCACTGTGCAGGTTAGCGTTTTCTAGTTTTTATGTAATTTTTTATTTTTCTTTTTGTGCTTTTATTTAAAAACTTTTGTGTTCATCGACTTTAATGCACGATATTTTTTTAGAAGGAGCGCTTTCCATCGAAGTTTGGGGAAACAGAAGCGCCGGTTTTTCCAAATATAAACCTGGCTGGGAAGTCGAGCAACAGTTGGCAACCGCTAGATCCCTACTAGACCGTTGGTCCGAGTTGACGAGAAAAATAGAACTGTGGGTGGAAATCCAAGAACTCAACGATCAGGGCGAGTACGGAGCTGTCGAGGTTGCTATGAGAAACGACATGTTAACGGGTGGGGTGTATCAGCTCCGCCAAGGGCAACAAAGACGGATACAAGTTCGAGTGAAACCGGTTCAGAATTCGGGAACGTTGCCTATAATTTGCCAGCAAATAATAAAAATAGAAGTGGGAGGTGTTATGGTACGAAACAGGCTTCAAAAAGCTCTGGATTCTTACCAGGAAGAGGATTTAACTGTCCTCCGAGAGAAATGGAACGACGCTTTACAGAAACGCAGGCAGTACTTAAATCAGCAGTTGCAGAACTTGTCTGAAAAATCCGACAAAACCGATCAGGACGTGGAAAGGGAGAAGAGTCTGATTGAGCAGTTAGTTAATTTGACTGAGGAGACTAATGCTGTTTATGTGCCCCAGCCAGGGACGGGAATTCCAGGGGCTCCCGCCATGTGGAGTCCTCCTCCTGGTATGGAACCACACGTTCCCGTACTATTTCTGGATTTAAATGGTAAGTTATATTATACTGGGCGAATATTAAATGTATACCTATATTTTAAAATCTTGCTAAAAAAATTGAGATGGAAAAAGAGAAATTATAAAATAAAATAAATAAATAAATGTATAAATATATAAATAAATAAATAAATAAATAAAAAAAATAAATTAATTAAATAAATATTCAAAGAAGAAGAAATCTTAATTGCTTAAAAATATAAATTTTTTAATAGTCTTGGAAAACTAATTAGTTCATTCAAACGGGTAATTTTTTCTTAAAACATGTTTCAACTCACGTCAACTCCTAAACAAGAAAAACTAACTGCACTCAATAAAAACTATTATTTAAAAGAAATACAGTTGAACTCGCTTATAACGAGCAGGGGATATAACGAGCACTTGGTTATAACGAGCAAATTGAAAAGTCCCTTCCGAATTCCCTATGTAACGTGTATTTTTGTTCGGCTATAACGAACTCGTATATAACGAGGGCTTGGCTATTACGAGCTTTGATTTTGGTCCCGCGCAACAGTGATCTCGGCTATAACGAGTTATCGTAGAACCACTTTTTATGCACATGACATCAGATGAACGCAAAAACTTGTTATGACAAGTAGAAATAACAACATATCCGATTTTAACGTCTTTGACTTAGTTCAGTACGACATGGTAGACGGAAATCTCGAAGTGGCTGAATTCCCCAATGAAATTCAAATCACACAATTAGCGATTAACCCATCAATAGATGAAGAAAGTGATGAAGAAGAGACGGGAAGCGATGAGGTTACAGTTCCTTCGACACATGAAGCCATCTCTGCGTTAAAAACCATAGTATCATACGTCGAATTCAAATATCCGGAAAACGAGCAGTTCTTAAATGCCGCTGATCGGTTGCAAAGAAATATCAGTCAGGAGATATTAAGCAAAAGAGTGGTGCAATAATAAATGCTATGTAATGTAACTTACCTACAGTTATACTTATCTATGTTATGTAGATAAATAATATTATATGTTTGAAAATAAAAATACAAGTGCAATGCAGCTATAATTATGTGTCCAATAATTTTCAGCATAGTTGGCGACGGCGACGTCTATAACGAGCACTCGCGTATAACGAGCAAATTTTGCGTTCCCGTGAATGCTCGCTATAACCGAGTTTTACTGTATATGGAATTATTATGTCGGACTGTATGCAAAACCGCATGCAAATATCGTATTGTCCATGAAACGCCCCTATAAAAATTGGGCCGTTGCCGTTGGATCACTCGAAACCAAACAGTTACAAATTTGTGATTCAGAATTTATCCAAAAAAAAAAAAAAATTCGGATGACTTACAAATACAAATTTGTAATGAAAAAATCAAAAAGGGCAGTTCGAAAATGATTTAAAAATACACTTCTGCACGGCACTGGAAACTGGTCCACTGTAAAACTTGACCACACATAATGGGACCGGCACGGCGGCAAAGTGCGATAAAAACGGACAAAAACTTGAAAGAATTTCGCAAGGAAAGGAATAAATAGAATTTTATAGCACCTATTTTATATCAGCCAATTCAACTGTTTTTGCAGCTATTGTTATTACTAATTAATAAAATTAATTTGTGGTTTTAATTAATAAAATAATTTCACATACCTGATGTTACAACTGTTCAAAATTTTGTCCACCGACGTGTAAACACATTTGGGTCCCTCTTACTCACTTTCTACGAACTAACACAAATGTTGTCCTGCTTCACCATAACACAAATGTTTCACCATAATACAAACATCTTGCTTCACCATAAATTAAAATGATATCCGAATTGCTATACACACAAGCCACTGTTAACACTATCTCCTAAAAAACTATTGTAAATACTATCATAACGACGATTGTAAAATCGGATTTCAGTATTTGGAGTCGCTGAGATCACCTGGCTCTCCACGCGTATTGCGAATGACGCTAGGGACTTCAGTTGTCCAGCGATGTAATGCTTGAAAGTACTACAACTTCAATAATTTATTTCTCGAAAACTATAAGGATTATACAAATTTTTTTTTACGATATTGACTCCATTTCTCATGCCACATCTATTCCCAAATTTTTGTCTGTCACGTTGAGTTGATATAAAATATAATTAAACTAAGAAAATATTATTGTAAATTTAAGACTGAAATTGTGAAAAATTGTGTACATTATTATTTTTCAAAGTATTGTCCATTGTTAGCCACTACTTTTCCCCATGTTTCGGGCAGCATACGGATTCCTTGTCGAAAGAACAACTCATCATTTGATGCTATCTATCCATCAGTCGATCTAATTTTTCGAGCAGCACTCAACGACTTTCAGCAACACTTTTCTTTGAGTTAAACGGGAGAAGTAAAATTTCCTAGAAATAGTGTTTTGTTGACTCGTAAACATTTTCGGAGCTAAGAAAAAATACGTTCAGCAAAATGACATATAATAAAAAAAAGTAAAGCCTAATGACATAGCTTTGACGTAAATATATTTACAGAAGTGTCCGATGCGACCTAGTATAAGTTACACCATCTATTGTAAATCCCTCGAAATTTGTTCAGTCCTAGTAATTGCTTGATGAGATTTAGTACAAAAACATTTTGATTGAGTCCGGATTATAGTCCTAACGTAAAATTTTCAATAAAAAAAAAACTAATGGTTTAAATTTTGGGGGTATAAAAATGTTCATCACCTCATTTGCTTTCTTACTCAAATGGCCCTGAAATATTCAAATATGTAGTACTTCATGTCCTTTTCAGTAAAAAAATTCTTTTGAAATAGCCCAAAATATTCTACGTCTTTATATCCGCCGTAACGCACAAATTTAAAAATATTTTGTTACAGCTGATGATTTATCTACCCATCCTTCTGGAGAAGAAGTGACAGTCGCAGGCATGAACTCTATTCTCCCAAAAGAGGACGGAAGACAATTCTATAGTTTGCATATACTTAACCATTTGGAAAAGGACGTTTGTGCTGTCGCAAGCTGGGACTCGTCCATCCACGATAGTCCACATCTCAACAAGATCACAGAATGTATGTCTTAACTATCCACACCATTCTATAGTATACTATAAAATAATTTTTCAGCTAACGAAAGGGTTTATATGATTCTCCGCGTAACTGTACGACTGTCTCACCCGGCTCCAATGGATTTAGTACTTAGGAAACGATTAGCGTTAAACATATACAAAAGACAAAGTATTACAGATAGAATAAAAAATCAAATTAAATCAAAAATAGTTAAGAGCGATCTTCTGACATCTTGCGGTGTTACTTACCTGGTTGTTCTGAATGTACCGAAAGCCAGTGAGGAATTGGAGGATAGGGAAAGTCTCGCTCAGTTGGCGGCGTCCGGAGAAAACTCGTCATTGTCTGATGGAGAAACATATATTGGTAAGTTAACGAACAATATAATAAGCGGTCACATTCGCAACATGTAGAGTGGGTAATGCGATTCCATGGGTGTATCATTTTAAAGGGTTCCAAAAATTGTTGGATATAGAAAAACAAATACAGGGTGGGTGAAAAGTTCTTGCAATTTCTATGCAGTCAGTACGAAAAATTATTTTCTTAGAAGTTAGAGATAAACAAAATATGTCGTGCTAGTCCATTTATTGCCTGAGTGTTATTTCTGACGCTGAATGAGTATTATTGCAACAAGAATATATGATATAAATATATTGCATTCTTTTTAGAAAAATACACCCGTGGAGTGAGCGCCGTGGAGAGTATATTAACGCTGGACAGATTGAGGCAGAGCGTTGCGGTAAAGGAGCTGTTGCAAGCTAAAGGACAACCGTTAATGAGGAAGACCGTTAGCGTACCTAACTTCTCACAGGTACTTTAATTGTTACTCGAAAATCTTAATATTACTTTTTCCTACGATTTTGTTAAAAGTATCGAAATATTAGTATTGATTAATTTAAACGATCTTTTTTTGTTTCCTGCCTAGACTTTGGAAACAAAGAATGGGGTAGGTGTTTCAAAAACGTTAATTATCGCTATTGTAATTGTATAATATATAATATCGTTTACATTTCAGTTGATGAGGTTAGATTTGAGTATGGAGTCTCTTCATATGTCGAGGTCTGAGAGTGTGGCCGAATTGACCAGCGACCTACATCACGGATTGACGCCACTGAGAAGCAGAACTAGTTTTGGAAAGGATAACGAGGTGACTCCACCGAAATCCTTTGGCGGCCTAGGTAGGTTATTTTGTTTTTGTGGGTTTTAGGAAATCCAGTATTTACTAATGAAGGTTGTTTTATGACAGTATTAATGGAAATTGTGTTGAGAGAGGTATAAACAGCGTACTGAAACGAAACGCATTAAGGATCATTCTGGTCATGAAAATACACACTTTCGATGTTTTTAGTTATGCCAGAATTTTGCCAGAGATTTTGTTTCAAAAGTTTGGCACCTCAAAATCTGTCTACAGTAATTTCGGTTTTGTTCCCAGTTGAAGCCTTTATTGTCTTATTTCTCTCGTTCTTGCTTTTCTTAGGGAGAACTTTCTCCTTGTGAAGTAAATAAAAGTGGGGGCAAATTCTCCAAGCATGGTTTTTTGTTAAAAAAAATGTGGAAATGTTAATTAGATTTTTAAAAAGTGTACTTTTCATGCGATATATGTTATCCTCCTGTTTGCCTCCTGGTCACGAATCCGGTGTCAGAATTGAGCTATCACATCATAGGAATTTCTTAACCTCAAAAAACCGGTCAAAAATAGCAAAAATTCACGAAAAAGTGCCAGGAAAAATACAAAATTTTTTTTTTTTATTCAAATGTTCATTTATATGGTTAAGACCCTGCTGAACGTGAATCCGCGGTCTGAATTGATGGTTATTTTTCAAACCGCAAAAAAAGCAGGTCAATTAAGGTCATATCACGAATTTTCAAAAAATAACAGATTCGCGCCAAATTTGGTATACGCGGGTTTTCAGGGTCGCTAATCACGGATCCGAGGTCAATTTTGCAAAACTTAAGATGACTGATCCAAGATGGCCGACCAAATTTTCAAAAATAACAGATTCGTGCCAAATTTGGTATACGGGTGTTTCAGGCTCGCTGATTACATATTCAAGGTCAGAATTGCGATATTCATTTTGTAATATTTTTGTTTATAACCCGAGTACTCAATCATGTTTTAACCTTCTTTTCTTTGGAAAAGATCTATTCACGGGTTTTCTGCTTAATCTCAGGTACATAGGTAATTGATTAAATTTTTAAAAACGAACTGTAAATCTCGGATTTGTGACCAGTGACCCCGAACACCCCCCGTATACCAAATTTGGTGCAAATTTGTTACTTTTTGAAAATTTGGTCTGCCATCTTGGATCCGCCATCTGTTATTTTTTAAAAATTTGTGATATCTGATCTTGTAATTGACGGGTTTTTTTGAGGTTAGAAAAAGAACCATCAATTTTGACCACGGATTCACGTTCGGCAGGGTCTTAACCATATAAATGAACTAAATAATAAAAATTGTTCATTGTCAGCCACACACATCAGAGTATTATATACACTGAATATAACAATTACATCAGAATAAAAGTACCCAGTATGGCAGCTGTAAAGGTTGACTTATTTTGTGATTTTACTTTCCTCTGTGGGTAGGTAACAGACAACCGGTTTGATTACGCTGTTTCAATTTAATACAATGATTTTTAAATTAGTTACAAGCGCAAGAAGGCAAAATATTCTGGCATAAACTTGCATATCATCCAAATTCATATTCTACCTGTCATCAGTTCATTTCAATATTGTTAATTCTCGATGAGAGTCCCTACTCGTATAACCAACGTACTGTATCTGTTTGATAATTGTTGTATATCGAGGCTATAGTTTTTATAGCTTTGACTTTATATTCGATAGTATATTTTCACTAATGTTCTGATGAATTTTGTTCGTGCAACCACAAGGCTCCATTCTTTCAGGTAAAATGGAGGCTTGCATATTGATATTGCTACATATTATTTATAGGTGGATATTACGATGTGACCAAAATGAAAGTCATGTGCTTGCGACAGAATTGAACTAGTTTTGAGATTGAGTTTGACTGCATCTCAAATCTATGTTGGAACCGTAGTTGTTAGAAAACATGTAGATATGAATACATAGCATGTTTTGATTATAATTTGCCGTTTTAGTTTTAGCTTTACCTTAACAGAAAGGAGTAAGGTTAATTAATAGCTAAATACTGTGCTTCGTAAAGACAGTAATGGTCGACGATCGTCTTATGATTATCATCTGTCACAAGTCCATTCTGTTCAATGTAATGAAGTCACAGAGACTTAGACTATTCTAACCACCTCACCCTTACAAAATAGCGCGTGCATCGTGAGCATGAGTAGTGATAAATATAGACATTACAGATTAGATCAAGCATTCTCAAACTTCCTCCAAACGAATTAAATTAACACGTCGCGGTATCTAATTGGTTTAAAAAAATAATTGCAATTTCCAAGTACACATTTACAGGGTATTAATTTTTTTTTATTTATTCAGAATAAGCAATGAAAAATATAGACTGCACTCATTGGAGAAAATAATATATTCTTAAGAGGGCTGTATAGCAGATAGGCAACCAGCAATACATTTTTATAGATTTTATTGCATAGTTTGTCTAACTTGCCATTTTTAAACAAGCGGCGTTGTAAATTACAAATTTCTTTACACCAAGAAGTAATTTGAGTTTCAAACTAAGTCCATTTTATAGGAAATTTGTTATTTGTGCATTAATTCATATATAGACAAACTGTGTAATAAAATCTATAAAAATGTATTGCTGGTTGCCTATTTGCTATAGAGCCCTCTCAATAAGAAGGTACCTTAATCATTGTCAGACATAGATAGTTTCTCAGGAAATGCCGGCATCTAGCGGAAAAAACATAAATGCAGAAAAATGAAATGTAGTCTAAATTTCAATATTTTCAATAGTCAAAAATTCAATTATTGAATTTGTGGAATAGTTTAGTTTGTTTTTTTTTCTCTTATTTGTGGTATAGTGTAAGTTTTTTCTTCGTTAATTGATGTTTTTCTGTCTGTGAAATTAAAAAATTAAAGAAATCTGTTCCAAAAGGATTAGATAAAGAGGATTGGGTGCTTCATTGGGCTGGTGGAACGAGACACAGGGCCATACACTTACCGTGTAATAAAATCTGTGCTGTCATTGCAAAGAAATAGTTAAAATTATATACATATTTCCATTTCTCAACTATTATTTTTTAATCAATATGCGTAAATAAATGCAAAGTTGCAACAGAAACTTGGCAACAGTGCACGAGTATGATGAGTTTATTATTTGTCAGTTGGCAGAAAAAGCAAAAGTAGAAAAAAAAGCTGTTTAAAGGAAGATTGTGGAGCCAGAACCTCATTACACTGTTTGAGGGCATCAACTAATTGACATGGAGTACAATCAATACAGTACATGGCACAAAGCATGCACTGCTCTTTTTGCAAATAAGTTTTAAGTATTTTAGATTATCTATAAACTGTGATCATGAAGTGATTCACGTGGACAAGTTTAAATATGATTTAGTTACATGCATAGCAGTTCTGTGAAAGCAATTGTTTCTCATAAGACTTGAGCGTTTAAAGCGATATCCTACAATTTTGCTGTTTAATTTAAACATACTTTTTACAAAAATAAAACACAAAAAAAAAACATTACACCTAATAAAAGTTTATCTAATCTCAACAATTTATTCCAAAACTTACTACTTTATTTGGATTATGGATTAACAGCAACATTTCCTAATTTGTGGTTGGCAACACCGTCTATGCTTGAAAAATTTATATTTATAGACATTTTATAATTTCAGTAAGTCAGTGGTGTACCTAATTTTTTTCCATGATTTTTGACTTACAGATTAAAGTTACATATTTAAAATGGAAATTATGGTTGACTAGCTGGTTCTGAATAGTCAGTGATGTAAATACAAACTTATTCAAAAACTTTGATTTTATATAATACTGGCTATCCTACATACTTCGAGGATAGTTTCTTGAGTGAAAATAAACTGGTTTATATTGTTACTTTAGTACAATTTTGCTTCCTTATGGATCTTCATAGGAAATTTTTAATTTGTTTTTTGTTTATTTATTTCAATGAAATTTGATATGGAGGTTTTTGGGATGGCCTTAATATGAGATTATTTTTTTCGTAAAACATAGAGGTTACTTAGAACTCCTCACACAGTATTTTGTCTTTTGCCTTTTTTTTTTGTGGGTAGAAAATGCAGATGTTTCAAGAAACTTAAGAAACTTTTGATTATATCGTAATAAATACTACACATCTAATCAAGATAAAAAGCGCTAGGTTTAGCCATTTTTATGGCATTAACTAAAAATACCCTGTAAATTTGTGGAAAAACTCCTTTGAAATCTAAAGAGGAAGATGGATATGTACTTGAATAGACTTCGTACTCGTCAGAATTGTACAAATTGGCTAACCTGCATGATCTGTTATCTGTTAGATTGGAACTATGTCTCTTTGGCTTTAAAATGATATCATATGAGACTTATAAAGAATCGTCATATTGGTGGGATGGTATACTTGTGTCAAAAAGCGCACGTAAACGTTTGTATTAAAATTAACCTGCTTAATATGTTTTTGCTATTTCAGCTCGACCTACGTTCTTAAACCTCAACTTAAATTTGAATTCTCTGAGGTTACAACAGCCAACAAGTACTAAACGTAGGTTTTTTGTATTAAATTTGTAGTGTCAGAGTATACTTTTTAATGTTTATCTTTTATTGAACAAATATTTATCCTGTACTTTCTGAGCACTTTTAAACCTTAAATAATATTTGTTCAAAGTGTCTTTTTTATACGCAGCATGATTCAATTTTTTTTAAACATTTATTTTTTTGATGTCAACTTATTTTCCATAGTGTTTCATGAGAATGTTATCCAATTATATAAAAAAATCCTATACACAATGAATCTTAAATGTGTATATATATTTGAACTATTTCAAAATCCATCGTTAACATGTACAGTTAAGAACGACTGTCCTCATGGCAGGTAATCATTTGTGAATGCACACCAATTAATGAAATTGACAAGTCACGGGTCTAGAAAATTATTTGGAATTTATAAATTCATAAATTTTTCTCAAAAGAAAAAGAATTGTTAATTACACAGCACATTTAAGATTCACAATGTATACAGCTCGTTTACTGTTTTTACATATAAAAATTATTATACAAGGTATATGGAAACTATGAGTAAACGTTTAGGGGGGGGGGGGTGATTCTACAAAAAAAAAATAAGTAAAGTTCCATTACACTTTTAATGTTAATGAAGTTACATAACTTCGGAGTTTTCTTTTTAGTTAATATTTTGTCAACTGAATTTAAGTGTTTTTTTCAAATTTTGTGCACTTGCTATGATAATGTGAAAAAATGGTTAAATGACTCGTTTGATTAGAAAATCTATCATAACTTTTTTATTATTTTTTTAATATTAAAGAGTTTAATATTAGTATTGGACATACAAAAAATTCTCTTCTTGATAACATTAACTGTTTCCGAGAAAAAACGGATTTAAGCGTACCTTAAAATGGTAAAAATTGATCAATTTTGCAATATAAAGAAAGCAAGGTTTGAAGATAAAATTATATAATTATATAAATAAAGCAAAAGCAGAAAATTAATTTGAAAACAATGATTTTAAGATTAGTTAGTTGTGAGTTTCCAAAAAGTGTCGCAGGAATTTATACCACCATTTTTATGAGTACTCGCTCCATAAATATTTTGCTTGTAGTTTCCAGATACTGTGTATATATTTAATTTCAGCATTTACAGCTCGTACAACGATTTTTGAAAGAAATATTTCTATGACTAGTGAAGTTTAAGAAATAAATCATTATGTTGCTTACAAAATTGGTACAGTTCTCATGATAAAAGTAATACATTTAGATTCTTTTGAAATGGATGTATTTAAGTCAGCGTGATGGTTAAATCATTATAAATTTTATTGGATTTTTATGACACGTTACATTAATTATTGTGGATTCTTAATCTTTGATTGCCTTTAACTGCAGATTCTTTAATTGTGTTTTTCTTTTTCTTTTTAATAAAATATATTTATACTATACAGATTCACGAATTTTCATAAAACAAGATGACACCTACACATTTTCCACTCACTTCTAATAAATACCACCAGAAATGTGGAACTATTAAAAACACATGAAAATAATTAAATAATAATAAAGAGATAAAACAAAAACTATAAAAATCCACTAATCAGTTTACAAATTATAATGATTTAATATCGTATTTAAATTGGTCTGTTTTCAATGAATCTCAGTGTAATTCGTTTAAAATTTATGCTATTAAACCACACTAAAGCTTTTACAATTTTGACACTGGAATATGTTATTATTTTATTTCTTTATTTTTTTAGTTTGTCTTGATTTAAAAACACTTTTGTAACAGCTGAATACAGTGCTGGGCATTAAATTAATCTGTTCATTTTTTTGCAAATCAAAACAATAATTAAAGTGTAAAATTGTGGTTACTAATTGATGTCGATTGAAAATTAGTAAATACTAGTTAATACAGTGTAACTTAAATTTTGTTATAATTTTTTTAATTGGATCTTTAATCTGTCTAATTTATCATTTTTACCAGTTTTATTTTTCTTGTTGTGGCAATTGATATTTATTGTGGATCAGTGTTGTCTATTTTTTGCTTTTTTGTAAGTTTCCTATTTTTTTTTTCAGTTTTTGTTACTTTTAAGATTAATGCGTATGCTCCATATATTCTACAAATTGTTTTAGTTTTCAACTATGAAATTTTTTCTTTCGGTATTATTTTGATTGAATTCCATTAAATTATAGGAACTCATTTTACTTTCTTTCTTATTTTTTTAATTTCTCCTTTAGATTAAAACAAATTTTAAAAACTATTTTTGATTTTCATTACGATATATTTTGTTTCTTTCGTATTTAGATCTTTTCAAATGACAAATTTATAATCTCACTACCTCTTGCTTATTTTGATATTCATATTTTAATTATGCTTTGTTTATCTTTTGTTTTCTGAAAATATGCCTCTTTATGAGGCGGGAGCATATATGTTACTCTTAAATCTGGCACTAAATGTGGTGGTTAACGTGATGGGGTAAAAGTACTGCCCAACACTAGTTAAATGTGCAACGACATGAGTACCTTTATTTAGATGTCAGTATTGTCGTAGTAACGTAATTCAAATCAATCTGGATGTTACGACATGTAACAATCTGAAGCATATAATCTTAAAACTTTTCAGTGTTCTCCGGGATGGCATCGCCGGCGAATACCAAGTTGGGGTTGCGTATGACGACGCTTCACGAGGAACCGACCAAATCTTTGCCACGTAAACATTCCTTTGACTTACTCACTGATGATACTATCCAGGAGCAAACCGAAGAAGGGCAGAATGGGAAGACAGAGGTCCATGTAAGTTTTAGTCATATTTATATGGGGGCTACTTTTAGCCTTTAGAAACATGTAAGTGTGTTTTCTCAAATATTTCAAGTATTTTGTGATTTTTCATACCTCACCACACTCATACTAACCATTTGGAAGTTACGACATGCACAGTAGTATTTTTATTTTCTTAATAGGTACATATTATAAAACGGCAAAAATAATAAAGCAAAAACTGCAAAGTAGTTTTACTTCCAATTTTGATTTAAAAAAATAATTTTGATTTGCACTTCGTATGGGCTCCAATGCTCCCATATTCCATGTAAAATGAGATGTGCCAGTTGCAGTTTGTCAGCACTTCTCGTAATTAAAAACACCCCACTTTCATTACTCGAGTACTTTTCTTCAAACCATCCTATTACTACACGGGTGGCTTGGTGGCAAAGTCTCGTACAATTTTTTATGTATGATAGCATGGTCTTGAGTTACAGAGATTTATTGCTCTATTCTCATTACCATTTTATCGGGGACCACACGCAGACGGAAGGTGTTGAGCGACCCAGGTCTCTGGTAGGCTACCACAGCCACATCCCGAGCCTGCCTTAGGTCACCCATCCAAGTTCCAGCCTGCGTCCCTGATGCTTACCTTGGCCGATCGAAATCCATCGGCCAAGACACCCGGCTAGGCGGTCCCCCAGCCTGTATATTTAATGTGTAGTAACTGTTTAATCGCATTGAATTTGCATTGCAGTATATACAGAAGAAGAAGAATACTGCACGAAAAACGCTCCCAACTTCGCGTACTTTGGATTCTCTTACCGAGTATGCTCCAAAACCAAATACACCATCGGCTAGTTCAAGTGGTTACGGCTCGCAGGCTGTATCGATAACAAATCTTTCCAGTGACGATTCGATGTCTCTCAAAAGTATCAGTGTTGACGAAACACCTGACCTAGATTTAAAATTGTATGACTTGCAGCCCGTCTCCGAGGCAACGGATTGGAAGGAAATCGAGGTACGTAGAAGTAAACAGATTAGAGTAAGTCAACGTAAACGTGGGTTGATAAATCGTGCATTATAGGTTATTTCTCAGCACGAGGATCAAACCGGAGGTTCTACGAATAACGAAGAGAGTTCTGATGACATAATGAATGGGTTAGACAGCGACACGAATCAAAACCATCCAGGAAGTGACCTTACCGAATCAAATATCATAAAAACTAATTTGTCTCCGGGAAGAGTGGTGCGCAGAAAAAAGCAAACGAGGAACCAGCACTCGCAGAGAGCCTCGTTTCCTCAGGCTCGTTTACATGTGTCGGAAAGCAAGGCTGCGCAAAATTTGGGGAAGAAATTGAAGGATATCAATTTTTCCAACGAAGACGATAACTTGGAAAGTTCCACAGACAAATTAGAAGGTAAATTGTTGTTATATGTGTAATAATAATTGTTATTTGCATGTGTCGTAGATGACCGCGAAAGTAATTTCGGCTCACGTCCTGATCTGTCAAAGATAAGTGATGTTCCCGTCCCTGATTGGGTTGTGCTAGGTGAAAGTGTTCTTATTAGACCTTATAATTCGTCCGGAGTGGTTGCATATATTGGAGAAACTGATTTCGCAGGTGGTACATGGATCGGAGTAGCATTGGATGCACCAAAAGGTAATGACACACAAATTAACGAAAAAATTATGAAACTAATAATATTTCTAATTAGTTAAACACAAGAGACTTTTAAATGCGCAAGGATGACAGTTAAGAAACAACTAATTTTAAGTGAGCGTTATTGATGCGGGTTACAATTTAAACAAAAAAAAAAACATTTTTTCCAATGAGCTTACCCTAAAATATGGTTTAATGAGCTTTTTGCTATAATTTGATAGAATGAATTACGGTTATGATGTAAAAGTAGACGTGAAGTAATTGAGGTCGTGAAGCTTCTGAGGCAGTAAAATAAAATGACTTGCAGAAAGTGTATTTTTATAGCTTTGCCAATTTGTTGCAAAAGCAGACTTGTCCGCTTATTATTTACTTCACCCTATTATATTAATTTTGTTATTATTTTTTAGGAAAAAATGATGGGAGCGTAAAAGGTACCCGCTACTTCACATGCAAACCAAAGCATGGCATGTTCGTCCGTGCGGACAAGCTTATTCTCGATAGAAGAGGCAGAGCTATGCGACTGGACAAGGCTGAGGCTCTTGCCCAAACCAGCAATAAGTGTACTCTAAATAGAGGTAAATATGTATTCTTACCTAATATTTAACAGTTTTTGAAATGCAACCACATTTAAGCTTGCCTTAGTGTAAAAAACGATTAAATTCGACACACTTTCTATTAGGCATTCTTCCGAGGAAATAGAATAATGTAGAGATGGAATGGCAAAAACTGTTCTCGATATCTTGATTCTTTTAAAAGGGGAATTTTTCATTTTAGGTTGTATTTAAAATTGATAATTAAAAAAAATTATTAAAAATTAAAAAAATATATTTCTCTGAAAAGAAAGTTTATATTTTTTAAAGTAGATTGAAAGAAAAGCTTTCGCAATTCATTTATTTTTCTGCTTGTTATCATTTTTTTTAATTTCTATCATACCTTAAGGGGAATAGTCATTGTGACGGCCGAAAAAGTGAGCGATTTTCGTGAATTTTTTTGACCGGGAAAGTTAAGGAATATGTTTTTTTTATTTTATTAAGTGTATATTCAACTTGCTTCGTGTAAATTTTTATTAAAAAATATTAAGTTACCAAGTTATGAGCCTTACCGTAAAGCCTAAAAAAAAATTTTTTTCAAAAAAGGGTTATCTGAAAAAAGAAATCAAATTGCATTAGAATCTATCTAACTTGTATCAAAAATAGAGGCAAGTTGACCAAAATTGCAGCTTAAAGGACCATGTTTTTGTGTATCTCCTCAGGAAATGCCAAAAATCATTGAAAGCATGAAATCGTTATCGTCATTGGAAATTTTTTTTTTTCAGAGTCGTTGCCTAGATCTCGCTCCCGTGGGAATGGTTTAAACAACGTGGGTAACCGAGCTAGTTCAAAGGCTAAGTAAATTGATTCAGACATCGACCGCCCATCCATAATTCCACCCTATATTTATTGCCATTTGTCATGTTTTACGACACATTAGTTGTGTGTGCCGTCCATTTACATGGCGTAGTGTTAATCATCCTTGCCATTTCATACATACTAGTTTCACATGTATCGCTATTTGGTGCACTCTATATAGCCGGCGCGTCACTAGGTGCTCTGGTATTATCGATCTGATTCTTCCTCACATGACAGATAGATACATATTTATGTAATTTAGTAATATGTATATATATCTACACGGTTAATTTCAATAGCTTGGTAATACCACGGCACCTTCGAGCCGCGCTGTATAGACCTTTTACGTTCAGCGAGATATCTACCTCCTGCTTAAGAAACTGCACAAATACCGGTGACGCGTCAAATGCTGTCACATTTCCCACTTCGGTTGTGTTTCATTTCGACTATTTACTAGCGGTGGCATGATCTCAATGGATTTGGGAGGGATATCAGTATTTTACAGTTCTACGCATTATTTTCTAAGGAAATAATGGACGTCAGACATGCGGGCAGGATATTAAGATTCATGCACTCGGTTTCTTTGATTTTTATGTAAGCATTTCTTTCTGTGATATTCTTAGTTGACACAGAGGCACTCCCGTCTACACCCATCACGCTGTGTGAATTTTTAAACTATAATTTGCGTGCTATGTAACTTGTAAGAATCCAGATTCACCTCGTTATCCTAAAATTAACGAATTTATAGTTAAGTTTATAGTGATACGATTTGTTTCCTTTTAGGTTACGTTATACATTTTTTAAATTATTTATTTATTTTAAATATTACTTTTAATTTACTCACGTATTTTTATTGCATATGGTTCTATGCAAACATTTATTGTTTTAAGTAGTATAAAGTTAATCTTGCATGTAAATATATATAAATTTTAAATGGTGACTAAGTTAACGTTTTACCAATCCTTATTTGATAATTTAGTAAGTAAACGGTTTGTTTGAGCAAACGACAAAAAAAATTTGCCGGGAGGTGAATCTGCTTCTTGCATTTATTTGAACAGATTTAATGGCATATGTAATCATAATAGAATATGTAGCCTACAAGAAGTAATTTAAATAATTCTGTGTGTCCTTAGGAAGTAGATTAAGATAGGTCTAAATAGTGGTAACTTTAATTTGCATTTTTTATTGAAAGACTCGCTAAGTCAGCCAGAAGCTTCAACTATATGATACCATAGTTAATAAGGTTACGTATATCTTTTTTTGTCACGGTGGAATGACTTCTGTACAGGGTGTCCCAAACTCGACGCCTCAATGATATTACAGGGTAACGAATAATGTTACTGAAAATTTGAAGGATACAGTTCAAATGGGATGGATTGAAGCGTATTTTGCACCAAATATTGAAAGTTTTAGATATTTCGAAAATTGCGTTGATGATCTCATGAAATATTTTTTTTCTAGGAACATAAATTTCAAAAATTTTTCTCTATCTATTTTCTTTAAAAAGTTATGATCAGAAGTAAAACCAATAATTAGAACATCAAAGTTACATTACTCATAACTTGATCGGACATTCTCTGGAAAACAATTAATCTAGGAGCCAGATAGGGTTCTGTGGCCAATAAGAGTGCCAGGGCTGCAAACAACTTCTTCTTATGTATTTTGACCTCCTGAATCCAAAAAACTTGGTCGCAAAACCTGAAAGTGGTCAGTTTAATTGTTATTAACAAATAAAATGTTTAAATGGCTGTAAAAAGTTTATTTTTATATCTAGTACAATTTTTTATGTGTTAATAGTTACGTTTCCTCATAACAAACATATATTTTTTTGAAAATTAAAAAAAGATTAACTTTAACCAATGTTATTGCAAATTTAGTTCAAATATCTTACATTTTCCGTTTCCGCGCGCACCAATTTTACTATATCTAGTTCTATTGAACGGATTGAGACGCACGACATCTCATTTTAAAGCTTGAACTTTATTTTACAAGATCCATTTATTAATTTATTTATTTAACAATTAATGGCAGCTTAGAAAGTTGCGAAATTTCAACGAAAATGCACAGGGAGTGGACATATAGAAAATATGTTATAATAATTTTGATTATATATGTGATATACTTCTTGATTTTTGTTCTACTTTTATTGTTTTTGTTTTCTTTGTGATTAATTAAAGACATGTTTAATATTTGAATATGTATTTGATATTACTATTTCAAGGACTTTCTGGCAACTTCATTAACAGTGTCACAGCAAGCCTTGTATGAAAGCTTTCAATGGCCTCCTACTATTAACGAAGCTGTAAATTCTAAAATAATTATTATAAATCGTTTGTAATTATTATTTTTAATTCAGATCATAACTTTTTAATGAAAATAGATAGAGAAAAATTATTTTTTAAATAAAAGTATCAAAAAAATATGTTCTTTTTAAATATGGAAAAATACAGGTACGTCCTGGAAAAAAATTTCATGATTCGAAATATCTAAAACTTTAATTTTTGGTGCAAAATGGACTTCAATCCATGCCACTTGAATTTTATACTTCAAATTTTCAGTAACATTTTTCGTTACCCTGTAATATCATTGGGGCGTCGAGTTTGGGGCACCCTGTACATTCAATGAGAATTTTTTTTTTGTGCATTTGGACCATTGTCAATGATGAAACAAAGGTTGGGCAGACGGAAACTTTATAAAAGATATTTTATAGTTTTTTACAGTTGAGCAAATTTTTCAATTTTGGTAATAAACTGCATTCATGAAAATAATGAAGTAAAATAAAGATTCTTAGTCCTAAAAGCCTTAAACAACTTTGTTGATTATGTTATTCAGAACTTTATTTGTTTTTTCTTTTTTTAATTAAAGAAACATTATCAGTAGGCTTAGTGCAGCGTGGAGTTTAACAGGACCGTAGTCAGATTACGAATGAAAATATTGATGAGTTTACAGAAAATATGTCGCAACATAGTACTATTACCAAAGAGCAAGGTTGAGTAGAGGATAAACCTTAGTGTTGAGACAAGGCTTCCATGGCATATTGGAAGACATATTACTACTTGCCTTTCTTTGAAGTGAAACGGTGACGTTTATCACTTAATATTAACTTGTCTAGGGAAAATGACTGTTCAACGTTTACTGTTGACAACGGACTGTATGAGAAATTGTTGCACAGCAGACGTAAAAAAGGAAGATATCGACGCGACACCAACTACTACAAGGTTCCCTAAATAACTGATCAGTTTAAAACACGAGTCAGCTGTGAAGGCCACCGAACCCCGCGCCGGCTCTGTTAGACTGCACGTGCGCTAAGCCTAATTATCATTTCCAAAAAAACAGATTTACCGCTTGAAAAGAATTTCTCAAAAACTAATGGTCAAAGTTCTTCAGTTAGTTTCCTGTTATTGATTATAATGCTGGAAAATTTTATTTTTGTTACCACCATTAGCAAAATATTTGTACGTAAGATAAAAATGCTGGTTTATTAAAAACTAAAAAAAATACTATGAAAATCATTTATGACCGATGTCAGTGTTTCAAAAAGAATTGGCATTTCAGGATGACTTAAATAAATAGTTTCTTATTTATGCAGAAAATTAAGTGTTGAGCTATAGTGGTGTATTTTCCAACATTTACCACAATTTTTTTACTTGAAAACAAATGCTGTTATCGATAGGGAACAAAAGATTCTTTTTATAACTCCTTAATGATTTTTTAATATCATGCTATTTATTTTTTTGAAAAACTAAGTAATAATAATAATAATAATAATAATAATAATAATAATGCATTTATTGCCCAACAAAAAATATTTCATTTACAGGATAAAATAAATAGAGAATCATATAATAAAAAGATTATAACTAATTTTCTAGTCAATAAGGTCTGTAAGGCTTCAGAATCTTGTTTTCTTTTTGTCCCAGTTTATTATCAATAATAATATTTGAAACTGCAGAATTTGTTAGCAAAGTGGTCATGTCGAACTTCAGCTAGCAGTTTAGTTTACCTTCTGCAGATTTTGTTTATTGCATTTATGAAAATATAGTCAACATTCCAGAAATGCATTTAGTGTGGGTGTTTGTTAAGAACTGGCTGATTTAGTTGGGCTTCCATGGTGTACCACAGAAAACATTCCATAAAAAGTGTAAAAAAATGCAATATAATCTAGTCCTCGTGGTTTATTTGCTCAGTGATTTTGAGGTTTAGTCGTCCATTGACTAAATTAATTAAACTGTAATCGAGTCAAAATAATAAAATACTAGACCTTTTCCTGTCCAACTTAAATCATTCTGTCCAGTTTGTTATATATATATAGTGTATATTACCTAATTGTAAAATTAATTTCTAAATTAAATTATTGATTTGTATAAAATTGTTCAAGATCACGTGCATGTTTCAGAATACAAATGATTAATCCATGTTTTAAAACCCATTACATATTTTTACCTGGGCTGTAATACATTAATGTGAGAGTCAGTTATTTATTACATTTTTGACTGTAACATAGTTCCCTTTTGTAACATGACCATTCATAAAATAAATAACTAGTTTATATTGTTCACCATTTTTCAGTGAGTAGCGATAATATTTAAACAGATAAATTTACCCTTTCGTAATGGCTTAAAACATCCCAACTACTTTATAAGCAAATTGGTCCCTTCGGCCGAAGTTATAACTATAGCCACTTGTACATTTAACAATGTAAATAAAATCATTTTAATATCTGTCGTTAATAATAAAATGCTTTTTGTTGTTTTACTCAAATTGGGTTTGTTGTTTTTATGTAAGTTAGAAGCAAGTTGTAATTTTGTAGTTATACATATTTTATATTACTGTGTACATTTTTGTTGTTTAGATTTATTAAATTATTTTAATTTGATATTTTCATAGTTTTAAAAGTTTATTTGTAGCTGTGGTCCTACAAGCAATTATAATATATGAATCATAAACACTTATATTTAACGTTTTATTACTATACATTAAAAATTATTATCTCCATAAACACCACATAACGTATATTTTCTTCAACAGATGCATCGGCAACCAGTTTTCTTCTTCGAGCTTTCAAAAAACATGTATTCCTGTAATAAAAAAAGTAACAGTAAATTTTAGAACAGAAAAATTCCTATAATTCTAATAAAAAATTGTTTTCCATGTAATGTGCTTAGAACACTGGAAAATAGAAAAAATACAAATATCAGATATTACAAATTATTTTATTATCATTTATAGGAAAGATGAAAGTATTGAAGGTGATTTATTTGATTAAAAGTAAAATTAATGGAGAAATCTTGTGCTTAGAATGAGAAGGGAAATGTATAAATTTCATTAAAAGCTCACTATATAAGGAAACAAAATTTTGATTAATAGCTGACAAAACAGAAGTTGTATTACTCTGTTTATTCCACAGGATTCCGCTTAGAAAAATTAGTGAAAAAACCATTAACAAAATTAAAAATGTTCACAAATGAATAATTCGTAAAAATAGACATGAACGTCTACAAAATAGAGAAAAAACGAAAAACACCCTGAACTCTTGAATGGAAGAAAGGAACATGTTTGAACCATCTAATTATAGAAAACATTTACCTTGATACATCTTTATCACTTTTTTGCCTAACTCTTAGGAAAAATATAAATAGTACTGCATTGTCAAAACGTGCCGTAGAAAATAATCATAAGTTCAATTTTAATAATATTAAAATTCTTAATAATGAAAGTAATTATCAAATAAGATGTATTCTAGAAATGATACAAATAAAAGGAAATGAAAATTCAATTTCTACTAAATGGTATATTTTAAAAGAAATTTTTAACGTGATTTCTTATGAACATTCCTTAGCTCGACTTGGTTCGTTTTAAAATTGAATATTTTTACACGTCATTTTGCCTGCGACTGTTAAAATATAGATAATTAAGCTTATTAATATTGTGCAGCGCATATTATTTTTATAAAATTTAAATAATGCTTGACGAATGTAAGTTGTACACTGTTTTAAACTGTTTTTTTTCATTTGGACAAATTTTTTTATAATAAAAGCACCTATGTTTTCCCGAAAATCGAACCCGTTCTTGGGATATGTGGGAAACCCTTCCAAAGTGTTAAAACAGTTAGCTGGATCACGTTGGATTGAAATTTAGCAGATGACGGTTAAAAGCATATCAATTTTACTTACCAATAGAAAAGCAGATCCTAATAATAAAGCTTTGTGTCTTGTCTCATATATATTACTGGGCATTTGCAATAGTAAATTGTATGACACCTGAACTTGATCCCATTGATGAATAATACTTCCTATTTGAGTCGAGCCATCAGAATTATATATCTAGAAAAATTAGTAGGTATATTTTTTAAAATGGTCTTAAAATTTAGTACTTACTTGAAAATTTTGATCTTTCCCCAATAGACATCCGAAAGTAGAAGGTCCTTCTATAACATAAACGATTTCGTTGTGTCTATTATAAACACTAAAACTGGATTTCATGGATATGGAGAAGTTTTGGGCTATTGTCCCTACGAGCTCTCCTGGAGGTACCCAAATTTCCATTCTCTATAAGCAACAATATAAAAGAGAAAATATTTTTTTCCCATATGATGTGTACTTTATTGGTAACACCCTGTATATATATTTTTGGGTAGTAGTGTACGTAACTCGTGTGTAAAGTTATGGGACTGGTGCAAAAGTTCCCAGTCTTGAAAAAACTGTTACTTTACACACTTGTTGCATAAACTTATCTATTTGTAGGTATACATACTTGCAAGTAACACCAAAATGTGCAATTGCCGCAGGCTAATCTCCTTTTAAAATGTATTGCTTCCTGTTGCGTTCTATCATAGAGTCTCATACTAAAAGACCGACCAGAACCAAAACAAGTCCTTTGGAAATTTTCCGAACTTTCTGTTGCATAATAAATAGTATCGCCCCTAGGCACTTTGACCGTATACCTATTCTCGGATGATACATTTGATATTACTGAAACAGAAACATTAAATAATTATTCAATAGATAACGAAGTACTTGTTCCTTACAATCTGCTAATTCTACGCTTTGCTGGATGATGAGTTGATTTACGTCTATGAGAAAATCCAAACCGCTCACTGGTGCTAGATATGTAAGACTTGAATTCTGATCTATTATTGAAACTGGAATTGGTCTTCTAGGCCCTGGAAAATCTCCATCTAAAACACATCTTTATTAAAAGTTCTAACACTGAATAAATTTTGTTACCTCTTCTATTATTGTTATTTGTTGCATTATTATTTGTTGGTTGATCCATAATTGGCTCGCAGTACTCCGCGAAGACTGTAACAAAGACATTGTTAATTCTAAGGAACAGACTTTCTAGCAGAAGTTTTAGAAAATAAATCGTTCCATGTCTTTTTGCATCAATATTTTTAAATCAGATTTAATTAGTGTATGACTATTGTGTAAGGTGTCCCGAAAATAGCCTGCAATGAACAAAATGCATAAGACAAATGAAAGGTCTGTATGGTTATAAAAATATTATAAAAAAATATGTATAAATAAAAACAGAAAAAACAAGAAAAATAGTTTTTTTACAAAAATAAAGTTTGGGAAAATCAATAAACTGCTTGATCAACAATTATGTTTTTCATTCTCTAATTACAAATAAAAAATTCAACTATTTCCAAAAAAACCCATAAATTGTTACACTTTTTAATAACACAAATTATTATTTTCGACAATTGATTTTGAAAGTTTGAAGGCAATTATTTTTAAATCAGAACAATTTTATTCCAAAATGGTGCAACGATTCAAAATGACTCGAGAGGATCTTTTCATTGTAAAATTGTTCGAAATATTCATTTTTGAGTTAAATAATTAATTAAATTACTAAAAAAGTTGGCACAATGTTTAATTAAGTCAATAACACATTACAATATTAAATTAATAATAATTGTAATCGGTAAACTACTTATTGCCGTGCACTTCGTTATACGGCGATTGAGAATAATTTTAAAAACAAATTTTTAAGTTAACATGTAGATTTGTAAAAAGTGCCCCGATGTTACGCCTATGGCTGTTTATACTCGAACGTAGAAGAGTTGTCCAGTGGGATACTGCAGATTGTGTAAATTAATTAATGTAATTGGATACAATAATAAACACAATCTTTGGAACTTCGGGAGCCCCTCCTTTGTTTGTTGTTTGTTTACACAGTTGCATCAAAAAAAGTAAATATGTATGTTTTAACTATGTTCTGTATTGGGAGATGCCGATAAATATATGGTTTAGTGTACACAAAAATGATGTTTGCCTACCTAAAAATCCTTATTTACTCATCACTAGTATTTAACAATACAATAATATTTGATTTGATTGTGTTCTGATTCTTAGATATAGAATTATGAATAATTAACGAGTTGCTTAATTTTCTTTTTAAACAGATTTCTTTTACATCCGCCCAAGATAAGATCTCGGCTTTGTCATTTCTCGCGCAGTAATTCGGAAATGTCTGACGATGTTAATCTGGTCTTAGTTTAGAATATTTTTTTAATAAAAATTACCTGTACGGTTTTCTTGTTCAATAGAACGAGTAGGTGAAAAAACTTGTAATGACATATCTGCAAAGAAACAGGATTTTAATATCTGTCCTAGACCTCCGATGGCTAAACCTAAGCATGAATTAGTTCACATGATATTGTGACACAAGTTGCACTCATGATATTAATTTTGTCATTCAGTATTTATTATTTGCCTGTAAACAGTTTTTAGATAAGCAAGTTCACACAATAACTGTTATATATTTTTACTTACCATCCATATTACTGTAAATATTTTCTTGTTGGTTCATTTTTAAAAAACTACTATAGAAATTATACACTTCCGAACTGTTTGGGTGTCAGTATATTGTTTATCAGTATTTATCTCTCATCAATTATCACAATACCCGTTTATCTAATCTTTAAATATAGCATTTTGTTTTAACACGTAATCTTTGTTCAATAAAAATTATCATTACAATACAAATATCGTGTTCAGGTCATAAAGTCGCTTATGTCTCAATATTTACCATTTCCCGAAATGAATCTCAGGGAGAAATATTTTATGGTTTTATAAAATTTTGTAATCCCACATTTTAAAATAATTAGTCATATAACAGCAACATTACTATCTTTATATGATATAAATTAAGGAATAACGAGCTGAAGCTTGTTTCTAGCTGGGGCCTCTTACTAGACAATTATCGTCTTTATACAGGGTGTCCTAGATAAATAAGTATAAAAAGTTCCATGAATTATTGCATTATTTAACAATTTTAGTATAACAGGTATGTGTATTTGTGTTAATTATATTTAGATATATCACTTTTAGTTTTTACTTTGGATAATTACTTATTACTAGCTGCCAAGTAAGCAAAATAAAATTGCTGCACCATTGCCAACAATTTACAAATATAACTGTAAATTTGTAAAGGTGTTTACGGGGGTCTTACAACTTGGAAAGTTTGATACAACTTTTCTTTAATTGTTAGTAGTAGTAGTAGATTGCAATTGGGCTAGAATTGTTGTTGTTTTAGCCTACCCCGCCAGCACTGTCTGCCTCTGACCCTCCTCGAATCTACCTGACGCCCCGATGACCGCCACGATTTTGATCCATAGCCAGGCCCCTCACCTTATCCCCTTGCAACTTTTCGGTACCAATTTGAGCTGATAACTAAGATAAGACATCTTTTGTTGTGATAGCGAACATATCTCAGCAAAACGCATTTACTTATGGCATGATTGTTTTGTTGTCCTTGTAAATATTTTACTAACAGTAGCTAAAGTTTCTTAGCAAAGCGCCCACTTGGATGGTTTCTCTCAATGTAGGCTCCAGAAAGGTTACGCCGCTCTAGTAGTTAAAAAGTTTTTTGCTAACTTTTTATTTATTGTTGCAATCCCATCGTCTTATAACGATAGATAAGTGCAATTTTTACCCTAGCATAAGTTTTTATTGCGATTGTTCGTTGTTATCCTAGGATTGCGAGTTTTATGACGATACCAGCAAATACATATTTTTTTACCTTAAATAAGCGACTTTTAAGTAACAAATAAGTGATATTCTTGTACCTATTTCATTTGAACGAGTTAAAGCCTGCCACAGGCTTGCTATGCCTACAAGCAAAAAGGGAGACGGGCCAGGTGACACAATAACCTACTGTATATCAATCGGTGTCTGCGCCAGGTTATGGTATCTCCTAAACCGGAAACAAACAAGACACAAAGGCTGGATTAAGAATTAATTTAATAGACAAACGACGATTTATATATCCTTAAAGGACAATATCAACAAAGAGAATAATAATATAATTGCTGTACACTATACAGTGGTTACGGGGGCAAGTGAGTATGTTTACTAGAACTTCGTGGTTTAAAATGCTATCTCTAGGTTGCTTCGATGAAAAGGGGTGAAACCAAGTTGTATGTCTGTGCGATAGAATTCTCCCTCCCGAAGCCGGGACTGACAGGTAGGCAACCAACACTACTTAAGATGTGTGAAGCGGGCACCAGGTTTGTGCAGATTTATGCAGGGGAAAATTACACCCCAGAATGAAAAAAGACTTATAAAGGAATGTATTGTTATCGCGCTACACGAGCAGCGAATTTGAACGCTGGGAACATTCCACTATATACCAACGATTTATTAAATAAATGCCAGTACCTACCTTGTGATATTTAGCGGCTTAAGGAGATACTGTGTCGTAAGAAAACTAAAATTAGTTTACCACAAATCCCATCTCTGTGGGGATCATTCTCGGATCTCAATAAACAAATAACTGTTTTCTACGAGTTTTTGGCTGTAATATCCGCAAAATTTGCGTGTCGTCTTTCAAGAATAGCGAGACCATCAAGGACTCCTTTTTCCTTAGTCACCGGGCGAAACAACTCTTAGCAATTTGGACAGAGGCGGCGATTAATAGGGTTTTATATAATTACCAAAAGTAAATAAAGGAAATATAAATGAGCTGAGGGTCAATCACAAGTGAATTTAATGAGCACTGGTCGGTAGTGGCATGATATTATGGAAATTAAATCCGTTAATTTACATTTTTAGTAAGGTTTGGAACGTCACTATTTATTTTTTATTTTTTTGGTCTTTCATATAGTGTAGGATGGGTGCAAATAAATCTTCCTATAGTACGATCGTATACGATGCAAAGTAGAGCAAAAAATTGTCGGTCTTTTATCAAAGGAAAATCGTGTCATCATTTTTAGGAGGCGTAAGATGAACCGTTTCAAATTTAAAATGAAATTGAATGTAAAATCTGAAATACCGCCGCATACGCACTGTGTTCTGGTACTAGCTGTAGTCGGCCAGGTGCATCGAGTGTACGAAGTGGTCGGTTATACGTCAAATACTAACCTGGCGAGCTTGATCGTAGAGCAGGGAACAATAAACAGTGGCGCGTACAGAGGTGAAATGTAGTACATATGTGGAATTTAAATAACGAATTGGATTTATAATAAATTACATTTAAAACAAATAGTTTATGAGAATAAAGGGATTTTTGTAGGAACAGGGTTCCAGACGTGAACTGATCTCTTCATCGCACCCCATTACGATTCTTTTTTTTATAAGGAGAACGAAGTTTCAAAGCAAAAACCTTGTATAACAGATATACTATAAATATTTACAGAATGAAAACAAAATATAAATCCTATGATATGATTCTATCAAATGAAAACACTAACAACAATTCTCTACCAATCTCAACAAAATAAGTTATTTTTCTATCAAACAAGAAATGTTAACAAATTATAAACAAAATATAAATTCTATGATTTATGTACTGTACGCCAAACTGCATTTTTCTCATCTTCATTTAATATTAATTTCTTCTTTGCACCCCCTTTTTTAGGTTTCTTAACGTCTCCTTCAATTTTCTTCTCTCTTAAAATTTTGAAAACAGATAATTCGCTTACTCCAGTATATCTAGAACACATTTCCACCAAACCAGTCTTCAGTTTCATGGGATGATCCTTTTCTAAAGGGTTATAGACATTTAATATTATCGTTTTTTCTCTGTAACTTAATATAGATTTTTTTGTACCCACAGCAGTACATCCGGCTCGCGAACATCCAGGCACCGCCTCCATTTATCCATATAACGACAACAGAGCAATAATAATACAAAAAACTTCACTTCACTAGCACAGAAAATATAATAGCATTCACGATTCACAAACAACAGCCCGAAACACACACACAGCACACAAATAAAACACTAAAAACACTTTTGTTACGGAGCACAAGAAATATGATTTCACTCACAAATTCTCAAATAATAGCGCGAAACACACATATAGCCCGAAAGAAATATAATTGCACTTATAACAGTTATAACCTCACAAATATCGCGAGCGAGAAACACGCAGCACCAATACAACCGAAACGAAACTGACCACGCCAGGCCGGCACGCGCGCCGCCGCAAAAAACACAAGACACAAGTCATATGAGGGATAATGAAGGGAGTAATAAATGTATTGTTGTCCTGCCGCCCAATGTGCGAAGGAGATGCCTTTGTTTTTCATTTTGTCCTTCATAAATATATAACTGTTAATCCATAATGCATAAAGAAATTATTCAATTTCCAAAACCCCCTATAAAATGTGTTGCACTGATTCCCTTGACAGGCAATGATTTATTACTTTGCATCGAATACGATCGTACTATAGCTGCTTCGGATAAGTAATATCGGAACCTGATAGTCACAAAACAGAATCAACATAGTTTACTTTTGCAAGTGGATGAGATTGGTTATTAATTAATAAAAGCCAAGGTGACCATCAAATTAATTTATTTCCTCTTTCCATACCCTTACTTAGTGAATATATGTTTAGTGTAATATTTCACTTAAAATTTGGATGCCCTGTCGAATGTTTTTCATTGAAAGAAAAGTTATTATATTTTTGATATTATTGTCAAGATTTGTAAGGGCCAAGTGAAATTGTTATAAGAAAATATTAACATTTCTATTCTTATCGTTACCTAGGATACAGGTACATGCTGTTATGTTAGACATTTATAAAAAATAGTATGGGTAACTATACATATAGATAACAGAATTTAACAATAACAAGAACGTTTAACAATTACCAGATTCGAAAACGATAAATAATACGAATTCCAATTCCAAAAATCAGCTTCGAAATCACGTCATTGTAAAATTGCAGTGGCGGTGAGGTTAAAATAAATGTTAACTGCCACAACAGCATGTATTGGTAGAGCCGGACCACATTTAGGGATTTATTTACCCTTATAATGAAACAACATTTTTTGTTTTGTTTTCTGAAGATACATTAACTATACATAGAACAGGTTACAATGATAATAGCTATTGAACGCTGTGGTCCAATAGTGGAAAGATATATTATTATATAAACTATATAATTCTTAAGTGGCATATGTAGGCTTCAGTTTATTGATAAGTCTATATCATTAATCCATGTGATTTCAAGCCTAACAGAAGTGCGTTGCATTTTATTTATATATTTTTTTGATTATGATATGATATATAAAATATGTCAGCATATTTTTCCGATTTACCTAATAGGAAATAATATCTATAAAGAACTGTACCTATTTATGTTGTATTTTATCTAAACGCTGAAATATATTTTGTTTGCTAGAAACCACATGAAATTAAAAACGAATAACATCAAACTGGAAAAAGAGACTAAGTTTATCGTGTGTCGCTAGGATTAGCCATGGCGTCGGTTTCTGGACAGGATAGTTCGCAGTCATCCGTAGAAGCTCCTTGGGAATGTAGAGAACGATTAACATCTAATAAATATGGAATGGAACCTTGGGCTGCTCTCTGACACTCCAGGTTACCTTTGCACAAGTCATATGCCTTTGATAGGAATAATGCGTTGCATTGGCGAGTAGGAGAGAACCAGCTGTTATCACTCTGAAAAATGGAAGGAGTCATTGACAACAACATAATAAACCATACATACTTATGTAATAAACGAAGTATTTACAAATTTTAAAAATGTTCGGTCTCAGCTTAAATCTGCCACTAACAGAAAGTTTTTTTGTCAAAATCGATTTGTAAAATCGAAGTATAAAAATATTGCTTAATCCGGACCTGTTCAAAGAATGCGCGGTCAGATTACCTCGCACACTCCACTTCCCCGCAATTTGCATTCACTAATTAGATACAGCCAGTCTAGGTGGTCTATGATGTCTGTCGAATAAGTGTTTTAGATCGTGGACCTGGATGTCCTTCAGGATGTCGGTACAAGTGTTTTGGATGGCTTCTGCGTCCACAAAACGTTTTCCTTTTATGGGCAAATGCATTTTTCCGAAACGATAAAAGTCGCACGGTGACAAATCAGGCAACATGGGGAGTGACTGACAATTAAAATGCGATTTTTAATCAAAATCGATCGCAAGTGTCGATCGATGAATCAATGCTTCAAAACGCCAATATAGAAATATTCATCAAGGTTTGTTCCTGTGGAACGAGCTCTTTGTGGACAATGCCTTTGGAATCGTAAAAGCAAATCGACAGTTTTGACTTCTCCAAACGAGATTTTTTAGGTTTTTGGCATCATTTTTTACCACCAGTCACAATGTTGTAAAGGAAGTTTTTGTCCCTTTTAGCTTCCTTCGAATGTTGAATTTTGAGCAATTTTTGGTCGTCAGTCAACTTGTGCTGAACAAACCGTGCACACGGCCAAATGTTGGTCCAAAATTAGATAAATTGATGTTTTTGAGATGTTCCATTCCAAATCCATGAATTGCAATGAAGATATTAGCTGAATTTCAATAACAAAAGTGTAACAATAATTTAATAAGTAAAATGAAATAGTTTAATTGAACTCAAGAGAATACTCTAACAATTAGCATTAATTAAAATTCATAGTTATTGATTTGACCCGTCGACGAAGAATGATCCTACTACCATCAATCTCGAATTTTCCCATGGAGTCGTAAATTTCCCAAAATCTAGCTCCAAATCTTCATGGTACTATCTGTGTTATATGATTTATTCCATATATGGAAAGCCAAAATTTCGGCCACGACCTGTTTAAATGGAATTCATTCTCGTGGACCCCCATTTACATCTCATGCACCCCGATTTTTGTTTTCATTGACATGAGCTCCTTGCAGTTCCAAGTCGACTCCTAGGGATCGATAGATCACTTCGGGAATCATTGGTTTACATGATAAACGCATTGTCAACGTCAAAACAATCACCTTGTATATTAAGTTGTGAGTTTCAATAATACATTTTCAGTCCGATTTCTAATTGAAATACTTGTTCAAGACGATCGATTCAATTTAATCCAGGCAAATTAGTTGGGGTTGGGTTGAGAGCTTCAACAGATACAAATTCCCAAGTACTTATTTTGTAATATCAACCCACTTTAATCAATTTAATCTCTCTTGGCGGCATAAATAACTTAAAGATAAACTCAACAGAAGTAAAATCTATTTTTGAATCCCAGGGGTGAAGCGGCAACATCCACCCGAATTCCGAAGGATTCAACGGAACTTTAATCCTGCGATTTGCATTACACAGAACGTTTACAAACATGGAGGCGTTATTTTTTACAGCAAGTAGAAGGAGTTAATAGTAAGCATTTTCAGTAACAGAAACTGTTGAAATCAATCAACCCCATTTCAGAGTATTTTCTTTTCATAATATCGTCACGGACAATACAGATGTATTGTCTGTCGTGTCGTTATACATATTCAATTATTTTGTAAGACGGGAATGCAGTAAACTCGAGCTATCGGTGGAGACAGCGATTCCAAAAATGTTTCCTCATGTTATTATGGTATTAAAATTTTTTTTCTATTTGCAAAAAATATTTGTGTCAATTTGATTTTAGCACCTTGATATTTTTACTTATTAAATATCAACTCAAAGTTTATAAACGCCTTGTATGAATTAAAGGTACTGTTTCATTTTCTAGTTTTACAGATTGAAGCGTTTTAATTCCCAAGGAATGCATGTGAAAATAGACTTTTTATTTACAACGAAATTTATACTTACACAGAGAAGACACATTTCATGCATATTACATGCGCCTTTAAATACTTCTCCATATTGGCCAATGGCGGAAGCAATTTCGTTGCATGCAGCTTGGATGGCTGGACATTCTTCTAAAATGAAATACGTATTAAGTAGCCTGCTTTTCTACAATACTAAAAACTCTTGAAAAAAGAATACTAAAAAAATACGAAAATAGTTCGTCAGAACATGTCCAGAAACGCTTCCGTTAAAGCTCGTAACAAATCTGTTTATATCCCAACGGATTGACCAAATCAATTAAAATTTAATGTAGAGTATTATTCTTCGAAAGGACGCCGTTTTCGAGAAAATTGCCAAATTGACTTCATAGTCCAGTCACTGAAAGCGAAAATAAGGTAAAAGCTCCTAATTTTTTCGGATAGCATGGATTTTCCTGAAAATTTGCATACAAGCTCATCTGACCCCCCCACATCAAAAGTTATATTGTCTAGATGTGTGCTTTTTTCTATTTGGGGGTGAAAACTACCTTTGTACGAAAAAAATGCGAAATCACAGATTTACGTATTTTAAAGATTCAATTAATGTTCAAATATGTTGGGTAAAGTTCCTTTCATGTTTTTTAATATAATTTATGAAATTTAATTACATTTCATCCCTTAAAAACCCTTAAAAGCGACCCTTCCATGGCCAAAAAAATATAAAAAAAAAGTTTTTAACAGTTTAAAATATTCTGTTGTTGCATTCACAATGTATTGCATTTCCTTTGTTATTCATTAGAAAGTTGCAACCCTTAAAAACCATCCCTTATAATAAAATAAACAAAAAAATATTATTGAAAGCTTGATATGTTTTAATGGTATGCATATGTTGAATTATAAACTTTTTATTTGTTTTCAAATAATCTATGATATATTGCAACTTTTCAGCCACCCAAAAAACCCTTATGGAAGACCTACCCCTCATAAAAAACCCTACCCCTTATAGAAAAATTTCTTATTAAATTAATATCAAATATTATAAATATTATTAAAATACTTACTCAAATCAGTTCACAAGTGCTCCAAAATACACAAAGGTGATGATAATTTACCCCCTCCGAAAATTTTACCGAAAAAATGCAATTCATTTTTTTACCATAACTTTTGTAATTTTAAAGTTATAAATTTACTCAAAAAACCATTTTGTAGGGAATTTAAAGCACTTTAAGTTCTGTGATTTGCAGTTTTTTTTGAGCCCTTCGTTTTCTAGATTTGTAAGCTAAAAGGGCTCAGGAAAGGCAGTCTTGGAGCTTAATTTTGAGCTTCTAACGGTAATAACTCGGTCAAATTTTGTCCTATAAAAATTAAAAAAAGCAAATTGTTCAGTAAGAAAAAACCTACAATTTCTTATTCTATAATTTTTTTATAACTTTGTTAGTTTTTAAAATATTTTGAAAAAAGGCGATTTTTTAAAAAATTGAAAAATTGTATTCAAAAGTAAATGAAATATTTTTTTAAATTTAGGCTTCTAAAATCCTTCAAATTCCCAGAATCTACCGTTAATACGTTAAAATTTTTTTCCGTCGTCATTAATTTTAATACAGATTTTTTTTCTCAAAAATCAAGACAATCATTTTATTTTGATTGTAACTTCATTAGTTTTCATGTTAACGACTTTTACCACCACTCGATTTAAAGGTTTTACGAAAAATTTAAATGCATCATTAAAAATTTATCAAACGATGCAAAATTGAAGATAGTAAGGTAAAATTAATTATATACATATTTTCATGTTTTCAGTTTTAGTTTTTTTACTATCAGCAATATTGTATTTGAAAATTATTATTTTTTTATTTAAAAACAATTGAAAAAAGTTTTTTTGAAATTTTTTCAACATTACGATAGAATTTTTGGTAATGTTGCCAATTTTCCAAGTTTGTCGATTTCTGGAATAATAACTTGTTAAGTCAATCTGAATTACTAATTACAGATAGTACATACCTACTTTGCCATAAAAATTGTAATTTAGCATTTGATACAAACAGATTTGCAACGACAAAGTTTCGTAGTTCTTAAAATTAGTTATGATATTAACTTTATGTGCAAATTTCAAAGTGAGTGAAGAATGATTATTTTTGAAATATTGGTGGAGATAAAAATTGTGGACAGACAATAAAAATATTTACTTACTATTTCCAAAGTGGTTTTCCAGAATTTCGCTAGGGGTCCTGTAGTTCTGTTCGTGGCATTTCTCATTTCTATCGGTACATTTTATGTTGTTATCAGCCTCAGGGATAGTTTCTCTATCAGTGTCAACGACTTGCTTCCTTGGTACTGCCACTCTTTTTTCCTCTGAGAATATATATTCCTCCTCTTCTGGTTTTCTATGTTTCAACTTTTCTTTTTCTTTAGCCACAGATAACTTATACTCGTTCAGAGCGTTCCTCATTTTTTCCAAACTATAAGCTTCGGCTAATCTAGAAATGACTCTATCTTTTACGTCTTGTATTTCTTTAGGATCAGTTTCCCCCTCATGAGCGCCAGTGTATTTCAAAGCATCGTCGACGATTTTATCCTCTAACATCTTTAACTTGGTGTCCATGTCATCAATCTTTTGCGCCTCAGGGGAGAATTTGTCTTTTTCTTCGTTTAAGTCGTCAGAAAATTCTTTCTTGGAAGGCTCGTCGTGGTTGCGAAAAGAAGACAGAGGGACTTCAGCTGTTCTTTTCTTGGTTGGTAGAGCAATAGATTTGTGATATCTCTCTATCAGCCATTCTTTGTCTAAATCGTTTCTTTCTGATTTCTTACGTCTGTCTAGGCCAAAGTAATCAGACCAATCGATGGATTTTTTCTTGATCTGAAGAGGTTTTTCGCTTCCTCCTGGTATGGGAGATAGTTCTTCCTTGTTGAGTGCTTTGGTAACTTTTTTCTCTTCAGTAGGCTTTACTATTTTTTTGTTTTCTGAGACTTCTCTTTTGGATGAGGGTAGTTTCGTTGTCGTGGTTGGGGATTTAGTTGGGGCGATGTTATTTTCTTTATTACCAAATATATTGCTGAGCTCCTTCTCTACTTTGGGATCGGTTTGTTTCCTTACAGACCTTTTTTCTTCGTGTGTGGTTTCTGGAGACATGTAGTTGCTACTTCTTTTAGACACAGGAAACCTCTTGATTTGAGAATAAGGATTTGCGTACATCTGACGAATCATATTCATTTTGTTTTCTCTCTGTCGATACCGTTTTCGTAAATAATTCATTTGATAGTTTTCGTCGTCATCGTCAAACTCATCTTCTCTTGGACTGTGCTTGTGTTGGTACATATTTTCATACTCATCACCATCATAGTGGACATTAGGATTACGTTTGCGCAGACCTATAGCGTCCATTCCAAACTGTGGATAGTAATCGCGTTTATCCAGTCTAGGATAGAAGGAATTCTCTACTGGTCGTCTATATTTTTCCCACAGTTCTCTTAGTAACTCTTCGTTATCTCCTGTGTATAAACCTCTGTTGTCTGTGTTAGAAAGTATGTCACGAGCTAACTCATCAAGTTGCTTTTGGTTATCTTCTTCAATGCGTTCCCTAAACGCCGAGGAAATTCTCGTGTTTACGTCGTCAGGATTGTATCTGTCATCTTCTGCATAGTTTATCAATGGTCGACCTATAATTCCACTTTTTTCAAACGAGTGATCTAAAAAAATTAGATACGATTTAAAAAAATGGTCAGGGTTGTGCCCTGTTGACACGACCACAAGTTTATAAGGTCAATTTTCTCGATATTTGGGAACTAGGCAAACATTTATACTATAACCATAGTCCGTTTTGAAACACATAGGGAGCGAAAATGTAGTAGGTGATTTTACAAAAGGTTCTTTTGTTTCATGGTTGGAGTAGTCGTATTGGTAAAATTAATTTTGAAAGCTTGTCATTATGTTAAATTAGATATTTATGGAGTTATAGATGATTTATTTCACATTGATTTAAGAATAAAGTTAAAATCATCAATAAATAATAAATGCTTATAAGTAATTCAGGAATCCAGATTAAAACCTTGTGGAACACCCGATGTAGGAGAAAACGACCTCGAAAACGACTAAATAAAATACATGTATTCTCAACATATATATTTGCTCATCTTCTCTACCTTCTTTGAATGTTTTCATGAACGACTGAAACTGAAACTTTCAGGAAACTTGTGATTGTGGTCGTCATAGCGAAGTTAGAACATCGGCATTGGAAGATGCAGTACTGAATTTGATTGAAAAACCGAACAACAGAACTAGAAAATTTTTTTTGCTATTAAATATGATGATATCGACCATCTTACCAGAACAACTTTTACCTGCCTTCATAAATGATTAAAGGCCATGTGAAAAGTCATTTTGTTTGGAGCAGCAACTTTATTTGTAAAATGGCAACCAATTTTGGATAAAATTAAAAATTCTGAAAAGAATAAGATCAAAATTTCGTTAAAACAGCAACATTATTTTAATGTATTTTATCGCCTGTTAAAATTAAGGTAGTCAGACTTCTAACACCGTGTATATATCTTTTATGATATGATATATTTGATTCGTTTCATCGAGCCTCCCGATTTCTGAGTGCCGAGATACAACCAACACCACCAATATACTGGACGTTTCCATGTCAAAATGTGATAAAACACATTCACGGATTTAAGAGAACGTCCACCTGCGTCGACTTGAGTTCAGTTACCCATCATCATTACCGGGATAGTACTTGGATTAATCTTTTTCTGGCAGTCAATTTACAAGTAAAAACCAGTAATTTCAATATTTGTTTTTCACAATATTATTAGTTGGCTCAACACAGGTAGTAATTCTCTTAGATCTGCGTGTGTATTTTACTAAAGTAACATACCTGGGCTGTAACTAGTAGATGCTCTAAGGAAGGTAAGGTCCTCGGGACGTTCTAATGGATAACCATAGTCTTCCTCGTCAAATTCGGAGAGGTCTCTTTGACGTCTGTCGATAGCATTAAGGGCGCTCCTTAAAGAATCCTCTTGACCGCTTATTAGCGTCCACGAGACGATAAAAAATATTAGCCATGTCACCTTTGACTTCGTAGGCGAGGCCATCGTTATCCCTCTATTTTTACCACTGTCAAATAAAGCGAATAACTGATGATTTATGATGTTGCAGTTGTAATATTATTATTGCACCATTTTTACGAAATATTAGTTCTAAAATATGGTTGATGGTGAGCAGTATGATGAATTTTAAGTATTTTATAGTAAATAGATTTCACAGTCCCACAAAAAAGTCCTGTACCAGAGAGAGACATGAGTACATATATTTTGTGTATTTTTTATGATGGAGGCTATTTTTTAGTAAAACGCTAAAATATCCCTTAAAATAGGGTGAAATAATGAGGATAAGGTAAAGTTTTATAATGAAAACAAACAATTTAAAGATACTTTGAGAAAACATTTTAAAATAATACTTTTTTTGTGTTACTTTATGTGGTGCGCTGGACAAAAGAATGACACTAATGAAAATAATCTACTTGCGAATACGTAAATATATTTTGCTCAATTTGCATCTATTTAATGAATCATTCATGATCTAGTTTGTAGGAATTATACGGACCACCGAGTCTTCCTCTCGACTACGGAAGTGGCTCTTTAGAAACCAAATTTAGTAATGAAATGGTCGCCGTTGAACGAGAGGACTTGCCAAGGGCGTTTAAATGAAATATTTCCAGGAAATTGAGGTCAAATAGAATTATTGCCGTTGAGGTATTCCACCGTCCCTAGACATGAAAATATTAAAATCATGTCTTTTATACAGGCATTTTCAATAATAAAAAATGTCTGGAATTGCAAAACGGTGCTAAATATGAATAAGTAATAATCGAAATTGCTAAAACTTATTGAGAACTTCTGGAATCGTTCACAACTCTCGTACTACATGAAAAGAGAGGAATAGATTTCTTTGCCCTATTTTGTAGTAAACAGTAAATTTTAGGCTATCATCAGTTCTACTTTAGTTTTTATTATTTAAATGTCTTTTATGTCTTTCTTGTAAATAAAACTTGTAAATTGTAAATAGAGCTGGGCTAGTTATCGGTGGAATCAGCAGATCCAAAAATGTTAATTCGTATTGTTGTGGTAAGTCTCTAGTGCCTCGAAAATGATTTTACAAACTTCCATGGTAAAATATAGTAGTTAAAAGAATAAGGCAACGGTTTTTATGGGATACAACTTTTATAGTGAAAAGTGAGTTTTTTAACACACTTGCGGTTTCTCAAAATAAAAAAAAATGCAGCAAAAAACTGTTTAAGGCCATTTTCGACGATCTTTCTATTTTTGGTAAGAAATAAACTTATACTCAGCCATGATGAGATGCTAAGTCATTTCTGCGCTTCAAAATTTCGTATGTAAATTAATTTCTGTTACTATCGAAATAAATGAAATAGACCCCAGAGTTTGCAAACCGATATTAAGAAAAAAAATTGAAAATTGGACCATATATAGCCTCACTATTACTCTATCGTGTGCTAAAATTTCAGTTAGTTTCGTTATCCCAATTCTTAGTTATTAATGAAAATGTTGAAAAAAAACACGGTTTTCTGCCCACAAAATTGATACCTCTCACTTTAACTCGTCGTAATTTTTTTGTTAATTGATAAAAAAATTCCAAATTTTTACTGACGATAAATTGAACTATTATATTTAGTACTGTGAAGGTGATTTGTTTCAAAAGCTCCTTTTTTTTTATTTTTAGCAAAACATAAGGGAGTGCTATCGCCGTAAATATTGCGTTCTTAAAAAAAAGAAAAAAATTGACAGGTAGTAAATAATTGTAAACAACAATCTGACAAAGTTTGTTAAAATAATACAGTTATAAAGGCTACCCAACATAGAATATGCAAAAATAAATATATTGAACATGACGGTAACATATGTCATCATCATCAATTTAAAAAAATGTTTAGAAGACCGATTGCTGTTTTTTTTTTTGTAATTTATGATATTGTTCCAAAATAAATAAACTATGCTTTTTTGTAAAATGTTTTAACCTAAAATACGTATTTACGGTAAACACACTTTAGGTTCTAATTCCTTCTTAAACAACGCAAGTTTTAAAATTTTGGCGTGAGATGAAACTCCTAGATCCCATCTAGGTGCTATAAATATTGGGGCGTAATGCGTTATTTAGAAATCAATAATGGTTGCCTTACAAGTTAGACGGTATATGATTTAGAAAAACCTGTTGAATTTGTTATGTATATTTTATGCAGCTATACGAGTATACAAATATTCGCAAATACATTTTTTTTACGTAGAAATTAACAAAACTGTTAAAATAAATAAAAAAATGAATAGTCTAAAGTTTCCGTGCTAAAACACTTGCAAATACATCATATTACTTCATTTCCAAAAATAAATATTTCCGTTAAAGGATCAGAAAACGCCTTTTGGCAAAAATGTTGCTGCTACTTTAAAAAATTTAAAAAATCGTTAAATTAAGCGAAATAAAGTGCAATGTTTTAAATAATCGCTAAATATAATCTACCACTAGATCACTTACCCTCAAACCTTCATTAATGCTGAAAATTTATTTCTGTCGGTTAAGGGCGACGCTAAACGGATTTGAAGATACAACTGGCAGAAAATTGCTCTGAAGCGAAATAAAGGGTTGTTTATTCCAGTGCGCATGAGCCATACGATTTGCCGGTCCCTGATCGATAAAATCTTACATAAAAAGTATCTAATTATTTTTTAATAACTGGATTAAAGTATGGGGGATGAACCTATAATCCGTTATTAAAAAAAAAGATTATTTATAGCCTGCTTTGGTAAAAATATAATTAAGGGCGTAGCATTATCGAGCAAATCGATATTATTGTTTGAGGGATGGGTGTAGACAATTTGGGTGATATCGAAATAAGCCGGGAAGTAAACAAACATGACCCCAAAATGATTTTCAGGGAGCTGTAGCTCTTATGTTGTGAAATACAAGATGCAATTTCAAATTCAAGCCGTTGCCATGGTAATTTCATAGCTGTTGGTGTGTATTATAATATGGTATCTTGTTATTCTCGGTTATTCACCTATAACAAAGGGGATGATCCTTCAATCTTAATTAAAAAAAAGTTCCTATGAACATATGTTCTAAGCGACCTAGTATTCGAATTACAGTCTAAGAAAAAGAAAAAAAATATTTTCGCCTATAGAGGGCGTAACTTTAAATGGTGGCCATATTTTTACAGAGGCTACCTTTGACTATTAGAAACACATATCATAAGTTATTTACTATTTAAGTACACCCAGAAAAAGAAATCTAGAGGAGTTAAATCTGGAGATCTTGATGGACATTCAATCGATCCTCTTCGCCCTATTCACCCATCTCGAAAGACGTTGTCCGAGTAGTTTCTTACCAATACAGCATAGTGTGGGGGTGTCTCGCAGATATTGTAAATATCGTGGACCAATATCCCCGGCGGGAAAATAACATCGGATGAAGCGGGGTCGAGCTGGACTATCGCTCTTTACCCCCGGTTAAAATAACTTTTCGGATCAGGATCTGATTCTGATTAAATTTAAACTGTGCAGTGTGTTTACAGAATAATATAATGGGCATTACTTCCAGTATTCGTCTGATTTATTTTGGGAGATTCTGGTTCTGTGTCCATGTGAAACGGCACAGAAATTGGAAAAGTAATATCACTGCTGAACGCTCTAAAGAAAATTCCATCGAACAAAAGAAAAATATCTCATCAGCAATTCTTGGAGACACTGGTAACATGAACATATATGTTCAAATACAACAAGGAAATTAATCAGCTAGTTTAAAATCAGCATCTACCATTAATTTAACAAACTGCAATAACTGCTTTTTCAATGTTTATAATAAATGCTTTAGTTCGAAGAAAATTTCAAGAATAAATATGCATTTCTTTTTCATTATATTATATTATAAACATATGCTGTGAAAATACATGAATCTATTATAATGTGTTAGCATACACAAAATTTCCTGACTGCAATTTTAAAAATGATACCTACAATAATTGTATGCATTATTCATTTACATTAATAACTGTGTAAAATTAGGGAGCGGAATTAAACTCCCTCTTGAAATATTAATAAAGACATAATACCGTTTTGGGGTTAGGTGGATGCATATTTCTCATTATTTATTAAAGCTACGATTTACATTTCAATTAATTACTTTAAATTAATTCCAGTTTCATCGTAAAACGTTACCTAGGAAAACTTTGCGATTTAATTTCCACATTACAATATAAATTAGATCTCTAAATTCGGTACCAACTTTGTTTCAGTCTGGCTGCATTTAAAACGATTAAAAACCTGTTACAATTATTTTAAATGTAATAAATACAGTCGTCTTGCACATTTACTATTTTGTCGTAAAATGTAATAAACTAAATTTATAGATTCATAAACGATAAATAAATAAATTCTTCCTGATAACCATAGAGATAGTTGAACAACTTTCGAGTTAGTCACGACCTCGACGATTTAGACTTTTTAACATTTCGAGAGACATCACTATATTCTAATCAAATTAAATGAAATCGAACGCAATTTATCAACCGAAAATTTATAAGACAAAATTTAAGAATGAAAAAAAAAGTGGGAGGTCCGAAATGCAAGAAGAAATGTCCCTTTGATCAGATTAGCTCTGTGTTCGGTCAGTTTAAGGTCAAATGTACAGAACCAATTGCCAAGAATGTAATCTACATTTATGGATTCTGGATTTTCGATATACTAGGCCCTTTAGTAGGTTCTTTGGATAAAATGGCAACGGACAACAGAGATCTATGGCCTTTTATTGCAAACATAATTTACGTAAAATTGGAAATATTTATGAGGATTCCTTGAATAACAACAAACTGTAATTAAAGTTAATTTATTTATAACAAAATAAGCAGAACTTTGGCATCGAAGTAAATCAGAACACATACAACTNTTAAAACGATTAAAAACCTGTTACAATTATTTTAAATGTAATAAATACAGTTGTCTTGCACATTTACTATTTTGTCGTAAAATGTAATAAACTAAATTTGTAGATTCATAAACGACTAGCTATCCGTCCCGGCTTCGCACGGGTCGACATTTATTTTATACATTTTGGGATATAAAAATATAGCCTATGTTACTCAGGGATAATGTAGCATTCTAATGGTGAAAGAATTATCGAAATCCGTCCAGTAGTTTTTGAGTTTATTCGTAACAAACATACATACATACAAAAATACAAATCTTTCCTTTTTATAATATTAGTATAGAAGTATAGATTAGTAGAGATCCCTATTTTTTCTGGTAAAAAATATAGCCTATGTTACTCAGGGATAATGTAGCATTGTAATGGTGAAAGAATTATCGAAATCCGTCCAGTAGTTTTTGAGTTTATTCGTAACAAACATACATACATACAAAAATACAAATCTTTGCTCTTTATAATATTAGTATAGATAAATAAATAGATTCTTCCTGATAACCATAGAGATAGTTGAACAACTTTCGAGTTAGTCACGACGTCGAAGATTTAGACTTTTTGACATTTCGAGAGGCATCACTATATTCTAATCAAATTAAATCAAAAAATTATAACACAAAATTTATGATAAAATTATTATTTAAAACGTACAAAATAAAAAAATCAAAAAAGAAATAACAGATAACCAGAATAATACAACCAATTCATAGTCCCGCAAAAAAGTGGGAGGTCCGAAATGCAAGAAGAAATGGTATCTATGTTTTTTGGGTCGCTGAATCCGAATCCGATGTTGCTTTGATCAGATTAGCTCTGTGTTCGGTCAGTTTAAGGTCAAATGTACAGAATCAATTGCCAAGAAAGTAAATCTACATTTATGGATTCTGGATTTTCGATACACTAGGTAGGTTCTTTGGATAAAATGGCAACGGACAACAGAGATCTATGACCTTTTATTGCAAAAATAATTTACGTAAAATTGGACATATTTATGGGGATTCCTTGAATAACAACAAACTGTAATTAAAGTTATTTTATTTATAACAAAATAAGCAGAACTTTGGCATCGAAGTAAATCAGAACACATACAACTATTAATAAAATATATCACTTACTAAAATAACTATAAATAATAGGTATAAAAACTAAGAGAGGGTTATTAATGGCACACATATTGAACGTATATCTCGTTTAGAAAAATAAATAATAACACACTCCTACAGAATTATGAGTTCTACATATCCAGAAAATGTACATTTTATGAGTGTATTAAAGATTAGAAGTTATTACTTATAAATATCGGAATAAATAGCTTAAAAATAGATTTTGGTGTTACTTGAGTTTTATATCGCTTAATTTTATTAGCCCGAAGAAGGATTTGCCTGGTTCGAACAAGGAGTATCTTCCGGTTGAGACATCTGAGAGGGTAATAGTGTCGCCTTCAGAAAGATATTCGGCACCAGCTGTATAGCACGTGTTACCTATCAATGCCCTTTCTCGAGAGTGTACTGTTGAGGTACACTGAAGAAGGACGGTGTTCCTGTTTTTGTACACTCTGAATCCAGTGACGTCGTGTTCATCTAAGTAGTATATCTAAAAATTGCAAAATCGTTAGTCTGGTGGCTGTAGAAGCATCGTTCAAGATGGCTGCAACGTGCTACATTAAGAACCGGGGATAAATATATGTTAATTGTGGTGCAAAAATGTAGGACACAAAGAACTATGTTTTGACATTTTGTTATGAGTATTATTTTTGTCATGCTTTTGGCATCTTTAAAAACGGAAAAATATCTATAATAAATATCGGGGATAAATGGGGAGCTATTGGGGATAAATATTGGGAAAATATTGGAGAAAAATATTGTGGTAAAAATCCCATAAACATATCCTAATTGTAGACAAAATGTTTGAGATTCCCTTAAGGAAGTTCAAGAACTAGGGTAGATGTCCGGACTTAAGCACATGTGACTTTAAATGTAGGAGTCAAATGTAGCAGTACCAATTGGTACAAAGAATCAAGTAAATGAAACTAACAAACTTTTACCTGAGCGTATATGAAGTATATTCCAGAATCTTTAATCGTTAGAATTCCTTCATCCATTGTGAAGTACGAGTCCATTCCTGAAGATGTCGCCCAGTCGCTAACTTTCCAGTCTACAAAAGTGCCTTGAGGATGTTTAAGATGGCCGTTTCCTGAAAATGTCTGTATTTTAAAAAGTGTTCTGAATAAGTCCTTATCTCTCACAACTCCTTTATAACGTCACTACCGTTCCATAGTTGTAGTAGTAGTGTGTAGTTCCAACTACATTTCCAGGTCAACACTAAGGAACTATTATTCACTTAATAAAGGGGTTGTGAGAGATAATCACGTTTTTTTTAATAATATTCTTATTTACTCTTAATAGGTTGACCCCCTTCAATATGAAAGTTATACATAGGCTTTTAAAAAAGATTTATAGCAGAGTACTCCAAAAAGTAAGTAAAAAGTTTCATACGAACATACGTCCGGAGACCTTCGTTTGTGCACACCGTCGACAAAAGTTTTAAAATCATATTTTGCAATTTTCTCAAAAACTTGAACTCGAGAAATAATTTGATTTTAATTTGGAAGAAGCATTTCTAGACAAATCTTCATATGGATTTTTTTTCTTATATCTTGGAGTACTTCTAAAATTGTTGAACACCATCTATATCATAAAAACAAGTCAAAGTGGTGCGAATAACATTACCGTTGAAATTCGTGTGCTGTCCCATGACATACTTAGATGTGTCCCCGTTGTAGTGTATGGCAGGTAACCTTACTCGACCCATTCTGCTACGTCTTCCGAGATCTCGAACTATAACAACATCAGGGCTAGATGTTACTTCCTCCTAAAAAAATAAATAATAAAAAGATAAGTTCGGACCTTCAATTGGAATATGCCATAAACCTTAAAAAAAATTTCTTCCCATAGACTATGAAAGACGATTACAATACTCCGAGTGCTTTATAGAAAACATGAATAATACTTTATTCACAGTTTTCTTGGATTACCTTTGCATTACCGCAATTTCCTCAGATATACCCCGAATTACCCCACATTACCTTTACATTTCCTTCGAGGTTTACCCATTTCTATTACTGAACAAAAAATTTTGGATCTTGTTTGCTTTGGATCAAGGAACATACAGCTGTTTTAAGTCTATCTTAGCTACTGTTACTTGCAAAAGAATTTTTGTTTTAGAATGGGGAATCTTGACAGTTTGGAAAGAATTTTTGTGATTCACATAATTTACAGTAATTTTAGAAAGATTGTCTCGACGACAACTTGTTGGTATTCCATTATCATGACTACCTTCATTAAGAAAAATTGTCATCACGTAAAAAAGGCAGTAACTATTTTTCTTGTAAAAACGTTGGATTTCTAGGGTTTACAGCTGACATTTCGTCTTCTAAGAAACACTTTCACCTTTGGGAAATTATTGATATCTAACTATATTCTGCTTGATAGCATCATCGAAACAAACGGTACATAATCCTTCATCGCCTTTTCTACGAATATTTCTATTTTCCTACCTATTATGTTTGTGTCAGTTCTATTGTGGATGTGTGGCGGAAATAGTTGCACCAATGTTTTTTCTCGAAAATAGTAAGGGGGTTAAATAACCTACCCTTCTTGGGTAACTTACACTAAATTCATCTCCAGATTTTAGAGCAGATTTCCTGACAGATTTGTGTGTTTTCAACTTGTCATTCCGATGCATCACTCTTGATTGTCTCACGTATACAGGTGGAGGTGTGCGTCTTGGTGATTTTATATTTTGTGAATAAGATCTGCCCATGGAGGTGGATAGTTCCGAACTGTATCCGTCTGGTGTAATATATGGCGAACTGAAAAAGAAATACTTTATTTAGTTAGTTCTACCTCTGAGAAAGGGTGGCGATTAATAATTACAAAATTCGATTGCCGATTTTAGGAAATTACCATGCGTATGTATAGACAATGGGGCATTTGAAAAACAGTTTGAATCTATTTATTTTTTTGTTTTATATTTAATACTTTTTCGAACCTTCTAAAATGATACGCCCATGGAATCGGATTCTTCGCAAGCTTTACTCGTCGCACGGATCTACATGATCTACCTACTATATTGGCACTGGTGTATACAATTGAAGAGTATTTAAAAAATTTAGCTCGATTATTAAAAAAAAATAGAAGACTAATACTAGACATTGAAATACCTGCCAAAAGAAGAGGGTCGAGCTGGCATCGCCGTTATCGATTGTCCACGTAACCTGTAACGATCCCTTCTCGTATTATTTTTAGCTTTCCTCTCTGCATATGATTCAGAGTTAATGATGACTCCGTCTTCAGTAGCAGCAACGACGTTCCTCTTGGTTCTTGAATTTTCCTTTCCATCCTTTGTGAGATTTGTTGCTAGTCTGAGATTCTCTATTATCCTGTCCAACTCTGCCGTTTCGTTGAGATGGTCGTAGTCATACTCCATGTCATCATCGTATTCATCTGGAGACATCGATAAAGTCTCTGATGCTGCTTCCGTCTGTTCTTCAGGGTCTTCATACACCTGCAAGAAATGAACCATTACTTAAAAAAATAATTTAACGGTCTGTTTGTGATCATAGAAATTAAAAAGTGGTTCTTTGGTTACTCATGTCAGCAAAGAGAGTTGAAAGCTAAAATTCTTTGTGTTCTAAAATAGCCCACTGTAGGACTGGCGGAGGTCTTTAGAATAAAATACTTCGAGTCATTCGAGTCAGTTACAGATGAACCATTATGAAAATATATGTTCAAGATTTTGGTCGACTAATTTTATAGCGAAATTCGATACAGTTGAGATGTAAAATTTATTGATTATTTACTTTCTATTGTTTTACAAATTTTTAGAGGCGAAGTGTGATTATTTAAATCAACTCTTTCAACTCGTACTAGCGATGGACTGAAATGTCCCATATACTTTTAGCCTAATATCATTGGCCTGACCCTGTGTGTGTGTAGTAAGGACTTAACGAGTAGGTATATTGAATAAAGTTCTATTAATTCCAGGAAATTTGCGTACATTTGCAACCAAGTGCTTTGTACGTGCTTGTGAGTGACATTCGTTAAGTAAAACTGCTGATAACTTGGTTCTATTTATAATAGAACGTGAACAGCCAGAGACCTATTCGTCTAATTTATGTAATGCATATAAATCTACTCTTGTTACTGATATTATTTATTGTCTGTCTACGTCAAACTTAATTTAATAGAAACCATACGGTAGATTATATTTATACACTTTGTTGTTATATTCCATTACGTACCAAATGAGGAATTAGACAAAGTTAAGTTTGGAGATCTATCATAGCGACGATTTATGGTGATGATTTTTATTACATATTAATTATAATGATTATAAAACATTTTCCTAGAAAGGAAGTTTAATTTTTTATTGTCTCATCAAAGAAAAAATAATTTCTTCATTATAACCATAAGGATTGGTCTAAAATAGCAATTTAACAGCAAATGTAACACATTTTCGCTTGCGAGAACTTTCCTATGAGTGAAAAAAGTATATTGCACCAATAACACCAATTATTTTATCGAAAATGACGCCGAAGTTTTTTTTAATTAAATAAATCCGGTATATAAACAATTATTTCACCGATAAATTATTACATGGGATAATCTTAAAGCGTCTATCGACCTTTACGTAGACTTGAGCTGTGATACTTTTTAATTTTTTAGCTGAGCATTTTTTATTCATAGGGAACTTTTTGCTTAAAATAAATAATTTAATCATATAGTGATATTAAATTAAGATTTCTTTACTGTTTTAATTTTTTATTATTTATTTATAAGTTTCAACCCTTATAAAAACCACCCCCTGCAAAAAAATCGAACAATTATAGTTAAAAAAAATTTTTTAGTTCAAAATATAATACAAACTTTTTATTATTTAAAATGTAATGTATTTATTTTATCAAACCTTAAAAAACCCTACTGATTAAAATTCGTAATCAAAAATAGGGAAAATAAGAATTTTATTCTTATATGGATTTTAATTTTTTTATTTTTATAACAAAACATTTAAGAAATAAAAATTTAAATAAAACTCACTGGAAAGTCCAAAGTTGGAATTAGGCAACGTTTCCTGATTTTAAGGTAAAAGTATTTTATATGTATGTGCGAATATACAAATGAATCATATTTTTGATAACCGCTTTTATTTATATAAGCATATCATCCCAGGATATGATGTAACACTGTGGATTATGAAATGTTATTTGTTTTAAATGTTCTTCATGTAAAAGTATTATTTTTTATATTTCTCTTAAAAGCAGTAAACTAATATTCGATGAAGTTATGAATTTACCGAATTGATATGTGTACACTGTAAATAAATCGATCTGAGTGAAAGCTGAGTGGATCCATTGAGTGGAATTGTTGAGTACATTTTCACAATATTGAGCATTTTGATAATTTTAACACAGTTTCGATAATATTTGAACTAAAACTGATAGTTTCACTCATACAATTTTTTTTATATTATCATTCTACATACGCTTCCCCGTCATAAAGTGTAATGGGATGTGTACACTGTAGATAAATCGGTCTGATTGTGAGTGAAGGCTGAGTGAATTTGATAATTTTACACATTTTTGATAATATACTGATAGTTTCACTCATAAAATTTTAGTTGTACCTACTCATAATAATAGAGGACAGTTTCACACAATCGGGTGGACAGAAATTGATACATTATTGAGTGAAAATAAGTCCAATTTTTCTTACAGTGGAAATTTAATCAGAACGTTTAAATCCTATCTTTATTTTAAGAAACAGGATTCCTTATATCTAGTTTGATTATTTGCTTTAATATAACACAGAATCGAAAATAAAACAAAAATTACTTGTACATATACAGGATGTTTTCGAAGGCGGTGTTTTACTATTAAGAGCTTTACTACATAACCTCAAATATAACGAAAATAAGTTTTTTTGCACTTTTAGGTTAGGATATCTCAAAAACCTCACGTGATAAAGCAATTCTGCGGCCAGATTCGGATTCAGCGCACCAAAATCCTTAGGGAATGCATATTAGTGTGTCTGCTTCTTGACCCTTGTTGATCTGTGATATCGATGACTACATCGACATCGGTAAGTATACCTACTTTGCTTTATTATCCAAATTTGGTTTGAATAATTTCAAAGCACAAATTAATAATTAAATGGGGGATTTCGATTGGAGAAAAAATTGCATGTTTTATTCCGATTAAAAGTGTCTTTTTGTCTCGCAATTTTGCATCCGCTTGCTCGCCACAAAAGTAACACTTTTAATTCTAATTTTTCTTTAGCTAATGAGACGCCTTGTAGGCAGTTGACAGGAACACTCTGTATAGCCACCGCTAAGTATACCTTATATTATGCATGTTCCTAAGCTTTAACCTCTCACATAAATTATCTTTCGGTTACTTTAATCTTAGGCATGAAGGAAAAGTTGTAAATATATAATATATTGGAAGTACTGTCTTACGACTTAAAAATTTATTGTAAGAGGGTATTTGGATCGCCGACGCGCTCTTTTGCCTTTTAGTATTTATAAATAATAGATACAGTTCGACGAATCCAAATAACAATGACCTCAATAGCGGTTTATTGGAAATCGGAAAATGTAAACCAAGCGTGTATTATTTTAAATTGTGAAGCATATTCGAATGGAATGGAATTGGAATTGGAATTGGGATTGGGATCAGTCATTATGGGACATTATTATTTTTTTTCAAAAATGTCATAAATACCGTTTTTATAGAGGATTTTGTTCTGTACATCTTTGATCCTTTGTATGTTTGTGAAATTGCTAACACTTTTCAAGTTATTCACGAAATAAGTTTTTTTGCAGCTTTCCGGTCATTTCCCGAATTTTCCCGGTCCGCTCCAGTGCAGAACAATTTTTTCCCTCATCTACTAGCAAAAAACTAGCCACATACGAAAAATACAATTGTGACTAGAGCGACTGGACTAAGAAGTTTGGAACGGTTTGGAAACATTTCGGTAAAATGAAAATAATCGAACTTTTTTCACTATTAATCGTAACATTGTTCGCTAAGTTTGATTAGCGAACGTTATTAAGCGAACAAATTTAATGCTCACGTCAATGTGGACCTCGGATAAGAAAAAATATATTCCATTTTATTTGACAGAAAGATGGACTATTTCCTAGTCACCTTTTCTTAATTTACAAACGCCCTGTCTCTCTTAAACGAATAAGAACATTAAGATGTAGCTGTCATCGTTCATCTTTTGACGAAAAGCCGCTCATAACATTGAACTTTATCTTGAACTGTTTTAATTCCACGAATTGGTAATTGGTAATTGCCGAAAGGTGAAGTAGTCCGAAATAATATAAAGTTTAAATTAAACGATGCTGACTAACCTATTAAAACGTGTGACAGATGATAAGTAATAAAAATAAAAGATTATATCATAAAAGTAATGGACATGTGGGGCTACACAGGGTGTTGCAAGTTAAGCCGGTACTTTCGCTAACTACGAGTAAAATCGGATTGTCGAAGAAATGCCTAAATTTTGTACATAGCTAATGGAACTCTTTTTAATATCTTAATTTATTTAAGAGATACAGGACGTTTTTTAATTTTTTTATTTGTGAAAATATTTAATTTTTGTTTTTTTTTGTAATTTTTTTTTATAGATTTTTAAATATGCATTTATTTTTTTAGTAAACGGAGATAATTCCAAAACTTTCCTGATTAGCGTCGTCTACCGTTATGCAGGAAAATAATATTTTTCTTCTCATATTATAAATAAAAACTTTATTAATACTTTTTAAAAAAAGCCGTCGTTTCTTGAGATCGATTAAGGCATTTAGAAGTTATGACAATTTAAAAATTTCAAGATGGCGTCCTTTATACTGAGGTTGCTATGGTAATAACAAAAAAAAGTTATGAAGGCTTTAACAGTGTATCTAAAAACTGTATTTTCAACTTGGGTCATATAAGCGAAATTTCGAAAAAACGACAATTTTCTGTGACACTATAGCAGTTGCGCCCTCTAGCGGTGGAGTTACAAACTTGAAAATATTTTAAATCAATTTCTTTTGGCCGTATTTGTTGATAGATTTTTTACCCCATAATCGTAGCATGTCTAGTTTCCTATGTACAGCCGCTGTGCCGTTGATGGATCACCCTGTATATTTACCTACATGGAAATTTGTGTGGTTATAAAAGCTTTTATTGCTTTTATTATTGATTCGTTCTAATTAGGTCCCAATTAAAATAAACAATTAACTAGCATTAATTATTGCATGAATTATTATTATTATTATAATTACATTTTGATTCAATTTAATTTTAAATTTGGTACAATTTTCAGTGTGCATTTACCGAAATGAAACAAAAGTAGTTTGTTATTATTTTAACAGAAATATAAATAATACTTAGAATCCTTAGGGAATCAATGAATAGGTATATGAAATACTCATTTTTTATTGTAAAACTATCACAATATTATAATGTCTGGAATCTATTTGTAGGTTGTGGATTTCAAATTTTGATAACTCAGAACAAAATGTGGTTTTGAAGTAATTGAAAAAAATCTTTTCAGATTCATCTAAAAAGAGATTAATTTTTTGCATTTCATTTATGAACATTTTTAGGGCAAATTAAATAAAAAGTAGGTACTTCTTTTTATTCTATGATTACACTATTCGACAGGGTTTCAGTAAAAGAAACGAAATATTTTTATAATAATGTCTAGAAGTTATTTAAACATCTATTTTATTCTATATATTCTATCTATTCTGTCTATTCTATCTTTTCGATCTATTCCATATATTCCATCTATTCGATCTATTCCACACATTCCGTCTATTCCATCTATTCAATCTATTCTATATACTCCATCTATTCCATATATTCTATCTATTCTGTCCATTCTATCTATTCTGTCTATTCTATCTATTCTATCTATTCTATCTATTCCATCTACTCCATCTATTTAATATGTTTCATCTATTCTATCAGTTGCATCTATACTATCTATTCCATCTATTCTATTTATTCTATCTAATCTGTCTATTATATATATTCCATCTATTCTATCTATTACATTTATTATATCCATTCTATCTATTCTATCTATACTATCTATTCTATCTATTATATCTTCTATCTATTCTGTCTATTCTATCTATTCGATCTACCTATTTATCCAACTAGGTTTTACGAGTACTTTTATTGCATCCTACAATTACAATTTTTGTAACAAAGAACCACAAATCTCGGGAACTCATGGAAAATATAAAAAAAACGCCTTGTGGAGTTTCAGTCAGGTACCATTTCCCAAAATGTTAAAATTTCTGCTTAAAAATGTTTTATTAAATGTTAAATATAGGAAGAGGATTGTTTTTTTATGTGTTTGTATTATTGAGTATTAAGGATAGACCAACTAGGTTTTTTTTTGTATTTATTTGGATATTTTGGCACTTGCGACTGAATTCTTTCGCGTACAATGACTTCACTTGCTTTTCTTAAAATCCTGTTACATTGGAAATTCGTGATTTTAAACTGCCCACACTTGCACAAGAAAGTTACACTATTTTCAATGTGAGGTAATTTTTTATTGATTAATTCTAAATTTCTAAATATTTTGCAGATATTATGGCCATGTCTTATGGTAGGATATTGTTAGTTTCTTCTTCATTTATTTGGGCATTTCACAGGTGGTAAAATACCAAAATAGAAAAAACTGAAGCTATACTCTGAATAGGTTTGCTCATTAAAAACGACATTTCTTTACATCTGGACAACATTCGAATAATTTCAAATGGTTTTTGGATTATTTAAATTTGAAGTCTGCTTTATTGAGTTCTATGTTGGGTTGGGAAACCCCAACTTAAGAAACGACGATTGTTGGAATCATAGAATCGATAATGTATTTGTATTTACCGTTGCTAAAAAAATGTTCTCATACGCGAACTCGTACAGACTACGTCATTCCACGAGGTAATTCAAGGTGAAATATTTTGGATATTGAAATATTCTTCGGAAATGTTTTGGGAAAGAAAATTTCAGGAGATACATAATTTCCAAAACGAAAGTATCAATCTGTATATCGTTAAATAGATAATTGCTTAACAATCTCCTTCTTTAATGCTCTGTATATTCGATTAGTTCCAACTTCCGTTAATAAATATTTAACTACTAGACGAGAATGAACACAAGTACAATTCCCTGGTCTTTAAAGCCCCACGAAGTGGTACTAACAAATAAATTCCTGGAACAATTAGATCACTGATAAACAAGGAAGTTTCGGTTGTTGTTGGAATTAGTTTATCTAAATTTATATTAAACACATTTATCTTTCTTTGTTAATGTAAAGCAAAATGCAAATAAACCACAGTGGTTCTTCAAAGCATACTTATGTTACACTCGTTTTATTTTAGGAAACCTTAGTAATAGATATCGTTGTCTGAAACTTTATTTATTTGTAGAATTATCTAAATAACTTCCTAGGTATAGGCATGTTTAAATACGCCTCAATAGGAGGAAGTGTAGAGTCCGCAAAATAGACCACTTTTTTTTTAACAAAAGATATCTGAGAAGTCAGTAACATTCCGAAAATTTTATTACGGGTGTTTTTGATGCTGGGGTTTTATTTTTAACAGCTGCTTCTTTTCAACACCCTGTATCTCAGAAACGAAGCATTCCGGACAAAAGTTTATATAAACTTTTTTTCTTAGGAATACAACACTTAAATATTTTAATGAACTTAGGTCACACCCTATATAATACGCTGGTCTGGCTCACAGTTCAGTCCATTTTTTGTACTGTGTAATCGGTATATAATAGTTTTTGATTTGATAAATCATTGAATGGTAGAATTAAAACCGATTGCACCAACCTTATTATATAGGTATTTTAATTTTAAAGAATTTCTAATAAAACTTTTCCCGATTTTTTTTACAAAAAATTGCATTTTCCCTACCACAGCACGGAGAAATTGAAAAATGAAAGTGAGTCGAATGATTCCAAACTCGAAAAACTTTAATTAAAGTTTTTGTAATGAAATTAAAAGGCTTTACTGATACAGAAAATATTTTACATATTTCTGACAAGATCTACTTAATTCTTCAGAAATAAAAATGCTATGCAAAATATTTCTTAAACAAGCAGAATTGTTCCTAGAATGTCAAATTTCTGCAGCGAACATTTTTTGTCAATAACATCAATGGTTGAAATAGTTTGTAGATACCTTGTTACCTAAAAGTCAGTGTATCATTGACTTCTAACGATAAAATCAACTATTCTGTATACTCTGTATATGTTGATCCACTTAAACATTTTCTTTCTACATTTAAACAAACATTTCTTTAAATAAAAAAAGTTACCTTCTTTTCTCCATTCATCCATCCATCCGTGAATGTACTGTATAAGTTGCGCTAAAAACATGTAAAAATTTTAAAAGCAAAGAGTACTGCAAAAAGTACGAAAAAGAGTTCATATGAACGTATGTCGTTATCGAGATACCAGGTGTTCCAATTTGGTATAGTCTTTCCGACCTCAATTGAAGAAGCAAGAGGTTGGCAGTATGTACCAGATTCAATCGCTAACGCAGCAATTCGGCATTGAAATATTTGAAAAACTTGGTCCCATTTTTCTTTAGCCATACCCATATACAGGTATGGTCGCCCAGTTGAAGAATGAGCGCACGGGCAAACGCGGCACAAACACAGCCGCACTGGGCGACCTGGCCATAAATTCAGGCCTAGCAGTGCAGTGCAGCAATGCGGAATTTGGTGTGATTCAAGTAATTTTAATTTATTAGGCACCTTCTATTAATAATGCATATTACAGATGCGAAAGGGAGAAATAAGAGGGATATTTTGTTTACTAAATTATTACGACATGGCATTTTGGAGACCTTTTGAAACGGAAACGAAATTTACCAATTATCAATATAATAAAATTGTTTGAGGACATAAATAATTAAAATATGTTGTTGGTAAAATGAACACATAATAGAAATTTTCAACACATTATATACAAATTATAATTTTTTACCCTTAACAGAAAAAATTTTTAGGGACGCCTATGAAACTCATTAAATTTTATTGCTAGGCGTTTTTATACATGTTCAACTGACTTCGGAAAGACTTTTTTATACAAGGCATCATCTGGTAAGTCTGTATGATGTGACTAAGGCGATGATTAACGAATTAATTCAGGGGCGGAGATGTATCATCTTTTTGCGGAGATATGTTCATATGAACTTTTTTCCTAGTTATAAGCGTACTCTTGCTTTTACAATTTATTTTACTTTTTTAACACCATATATATTTGTTTACCGTTCGTAGATTTTGTCCAAAAAACACTATTTGAAGAAGTTCATGAAACTACCCTGTATAACCAATTTCTTTCGTCTCTATTTTGTTGACGAAAAATTCCAAATTAAAAAGAACAACAATCAGAGTAAACAAGATTTTGATTAATTAGCTAATCTCGTTTATTGGCAACAATCTAATGCGAATATGTTAGTCTTCGATAAATTCAGAAATAAACTGGTCGCAGTTCTAAGCGTGTGCGTCTTAATACGACTAGTTTTAAAAATATAGGAGTCGATAACCTTTGCATATTTTATATGAATTTTATAGAACGTATAAATTTCATTTATAAATAATATTTGCTTCTGTATATACACAACTTAAGTTATGTTTTGACTACATCCAATTATTACTTTCATGAAAAATAATTTAAAAAATTTCAAGTGAAACCTTTGTTTTTGATATACGAGGAGTTGAAGTTTAAATACGCCTTTTTTCCAGTGGAAAATGTTGAAGAATATTCCTCAAACTACATTGGTTTGAGCTGACATTATTAATAAACAACAACAAAATAAATATCGTGTGGCCTAATAATAAATATTTTTAATTAGAACAGTTTTTCAATCAGTTTATACTTTGTGGACATTTTTGCAAGAGCACATTGTAACAATTAATTTTTAAAAATTGCATTTGTGGCAAAGTTTATAAATGCAATAAATATTAAGTTGCAGAAACCTCTAAATAGTAGATTAGACGAACACAGAGATTACATGGAAAAGCGAGAATCTGAGAAATCGAACATTTACGACCACGCTTGGGAAAACGGTCTAAATTCAATAAGGTTCAGCCAAAATTGTGGAAAAGGAAAATAATACCTTTAAAAGAAAATTCACTTGGTGAACTTCGATCGTTGGAAGAGTAATAATAATAATAATAGTAGAATAAAGATCATATTTCTGTATAGAAACAAATGAACAACTGTCAAGCCAAACAACGATCGAAAACATTTTGATTTTTCTGCTTTTTACAGTGTTAGATATTTAGTTAGGCAAACAAATCGAATAAAAATAACCCTTTTAGCACAAGGATTTATTTCGTTACTTTTTTTCACAGATATATTTACGCGTGGAAAAAATAAATAAAAAACGCTTACGTCATTTTCGAAGTCGGCAATAGCGTTGATGATGTCGCTCTGAAGTTTCAAATCGTTCACGGAAATTTTGAGAAGGTCCACTTCTTCTTCCAAAGTCTTCACTCGCGATAAGGCCAGGGTAGTTTCGACGAACAGGAAGATGTTAATAACGACAAGAAGAAAAACACCTAGTATTGCTAAAACGTTTGCCTTCCTGTTTGCGCGTATTCGAGTAAGGCCCAAATCCAATTTCCCTTCATCGTTCAGGGGCACTGTGAGCTTGTCGGTCTTCATGTTTACGTACATGTCACTTGAGCGTCATTTGCGAACCACCCGAGAATGCTTCTCAACTGCCAGACGAACACTGACCAGCTTTATCTCCCAAGTTGATTATTTAAACGGTGCCAGTATGAAAATCTTTAAAGGCCTGCTGCAAGTTTCAAGTTTCAAGGATGATAATACACTGGATGTGACCGCGTCAGCGAGAGAACAGAATTCCATCTTGCCAGTGTTTATTTGCATAAACAAATCTCGCACATTTTTATTTATTAATAGATATAAAAAGTAACGGATATAAATAGAAATAAAACTTAGGAGTCTCATTACAAACACTCTTTCATTTTTTTATACAGGGCGTGGCGTATATAATCTATAAAAATTAAACTACCTGATGATATTTGCAATAGAAACCTCTTATACGAAAAAGTTCTATCTTGGCGTTTTTTTTTGTAAATTAAAGTTCATTTATTCAACGAAAACGAAGGCCGACCCTGTGTTATTTATTAAAAGCTTTGGAAATGTTTTTATGCGACCCGAGATGCAACCTTATTGTTTAAGTCGGTATAATCTAATACTAGTAATACTAAAAGAAGGTTAAGTTACATTGTCAAAAAATTTGTGCAGTCAACTGATTTTGTATTTGTATTGAATTCATTATTCACTTAATTATTAAATATTAAGCATCGTCCATAGAGCCATCAGTGTTAAAAAGTGAAAGATTCCAGACAAAAGTTTTTATTTTATAATTTCACGATAGTGATAGTGTAAATTTTATAAAGTAAAAATTAAGAATAGCGTGCCGATTACATTAACAACGAGATTTTGATTTCTTACTTTGCTTAATTTTTTAGTTTGTGCACAAACTAGTTTTACAATGAACCGAGAAAACAATGCATTTACTATTTCCGAACGTGTCGATATGGTGTTAGTGTATGGTGCAGCCGGAGAAAATGCGCTCGCGGCGACTAGCTTATACCGGGAACGATAGCCACAACGTCACCCCCCATGTGCAAATACAATCCTACAGTGCGTTCAGCGGCTGCGAGATACGGGAAGTGTTATTCCTCGAGAAGAAGGACGTGGTCAGCAAGTGAGCCTTAATGTTGAAGATGCAGTGTTGGAAAATCTTGACGAAGACCCCACAATTAGTACTCGACGACTCGCACAGCAAGTAGGAACTCATCTCGTACCGTACATCGCATCTTAAGGCGCCAGCTGTTACACCCGTACCATCTGCAATCAGTTCAACAGATTTTACCCCCGGATTGTGATCAACGAATGCGTTTTTGCAGATGGTTTTTACGGCAATGTGCCAATCAAGTTGTGTTATGTTTGGGTAACAGATGAGGCGACATTTACCCGTGATGAAGTGAATTTCCATAATATGCACATATGGGCCGATGAAAATCCTCACGCCATTAGGGAAACTAATTTTCAACATCGATTCTCGGTAAATGTTTGGGCTGGCATAATAGGCGATGTACTTGTGGGTCCCTATTTCTTTGAATGCTGACTTTTTGGAGAACCGGTTGCCTAAATTATTGGACGATGTGGCATTACAAGTTCGGGCAGGCATGTTTTATCTTCAATATGGGGTTCCTCCACACAGTACTCGAGAAATAACGACACTTTTGAATGAAATGTTTCCTCAGCGATGGATTGGACGCTTTGGTCCTGTGCCGTGGCCACCTCGGTCACCCGATCTAACTCCAATGGACTTTTATCTTTGGATTCATTTGAAGTCTTTGGTTTACAATACTCCTATTGCTACGGTGGAAGAATTGCCAAACCGTATACTTGAAGCTGCTGACACAATTAGGGGAATACCTGGAATTTGGGAAAATATTCGCCAAAATTGGGTGCCATGCCTGTATCCGCGCTAATGGGGATCAATTTCAAGATTTTCTTTAGAAATGGTAAGTTTTATTTCATTTTGTTCCATATTTTAATGGAGTTTGTCTAGTGCACGCAGTTGGCAACTACAGATGCTTACGGATGCGGTTTTGTTTGCGAATTTTTACAGTAACAACAAAATATCTATTTTTCTTAGTTTGTACTTTTGCATTGAAAAATTTCCCAAAAATTGAGAAGTATCTTTCTATCCTTCAACGACGATTTATTTACGCGGAGGGTCTACAGCACGTAACTCATCGTACAGCACACGGACAGGACCGTTCCAAAGAAAATATTTTGATTCATAATTGAACTTTAATTTACGAAAAAAAACGCAAAAATAAGGACTTTTTCGTATAAGATTTTTTTCTATTACAAATATCGTTAAGAAGCTGTATTTTACTTTTTGTAGATTATACACGCCACACCCTGTATACAAGAATAAATAAAGGTTCTTGAATCTACGCTTACGACCACAGAAAGTAAATGTTTGGTGTGGCATGGGTGGACACGTCATAGGGCACTATTTTATAAACTGACCAATATTTATTACTTTTGCAAGAATATATTCTTCCAAAGCTTAGAGGGGCGATTGAATGGCCAGCTAGGTCTGCCGATATGACCCCGCTTGACTATTTTCTGTGGGATCACATAAAAAATATAGCCTACAAAAATAGCCTGCAAAATATCGAAGAATTACAGAAATGGCCAAGGCATGAAATTTCCACTATTCCTCCCAACACCCTTTTAGATTCACTACAAAATTTTGTTCAGCGAAATCATTACTGTCAGGAGGTAAATGGTGAAATCTTTGAGCATCTTATAAAATATAATTCCAAAGAAAATATTTGTTGTTTGTTAAAACTTGTTTTCTCTCTTTTTTATTTTTGTTATATTGTTTCCATAAAATTTAAAATATTAATTAAAATATACATTTTAGCGTTTAATACATTTTTATCAAATTATTACAGGACTGTGAGACTATCCATCATTATTTGGAGAGGAACGATGATTTTTCTGCGAGAAGAAAACTGCATACAAACAGTTTTTCATGCATTTAATATCAAGGCATTTTATGACACCATTCTGCATAAATATATTGTATAATCTGCACTAACATGCGATGGACGATCATTCATAAATATCAGCCAAATAAGTGGGCCAAGTGTTGAACCCTGAGGTACTCCCAGATCAATATCTTTTATATGAGGCATTTTATTATTTAATTTTAATTATATCTTCCTATATTGCAGATATACCACGCTAAACAGTTGTCACGAAAACCAACAGCAGAGAGTTTTTCTGCTATAAAATTTAACCAAACTGCATAACGTGTAATTATATAATTATAACCCTTATTCATCTTTAGACAATGTTTAAGCATTTTCGCAGCCACGAATGGAATCTTAATTTATTATTTTACCAAGATATTATCGTACAAGTACATCATGTCTTCCAGCTGCTGGGTGAAGCGTCTTTTAATCTATCTATAATATATTTAATAGTAGTATTACCCTTGAAATGTATTCAATTAACTGAGGACCTAAATTTAATGCATCGAATTTTGTTTTCGTTGCTTCAACTTCAATACAATAACATATTTTGTGAATATAACAGTCGCATTGCAGGAACATGTGTTCGAAATGCGTCATTTGTTGATATTTATGTTAAAATAATTATTTAGCTTTAGACATTTGCGCTTAATTCTCGCGTAGTTCTTGTTCGATTTATTTTTGCCTGTTCGTCCATACACTTTTCGAATATTCGAATATGTCTTGTCATTACGTGTAATATTTTCCTTGCTATTTGTTGTAGCGAATTTATTTTATTAATAAGTAACAGATAATGACAGATGCTAGAATAATATATCTGTGAAAAATTAACAAATATCTATAATGAATAATCAGCGAAAACGATTTATATATGTATTGAAAGAAGTAAGACTAATGAGAATAATGCAAGCAGAGCGAGAAGGGAATCTGAAATTATTAATTTCCACAAAGGGGCCCTAATCACGAATTTCTAAAACATGAGAGAAAAGGCGGCTCAGCAATTAAAAGGCTGTTAAAATACTCAAAGAGAATACTTAAATAAACAAAGCTTGGATTGCCTCAGATTACAGTATGGTTACTTATTCAACAAATGTATTAAGTAACATTTTTTCGACTACACCATTTCTACTAACGAAATAAATGTAAATTAAATTATAATTTTACACACTAGGGCCTAAAATAAAGCATCTTAAGTCAGTATAATATTGTGTAATATGAAGGAAACAAATTAAAATATAAGCAATTATTTTTACTCCAGTGTATGGAATATTTACTTTATGCGCTATTGCACTTTTATTAGAGAAATTTTTCTGTTACTTCCCGTTTAAAAGTTATATAAATCGGCTGGTCAACGAATTGACCAATGGGTATCATGACTACAAAATTCACAATTTGGAGTATTTGCCTGAGCGTCGCATTGAAAGCAGACTTAATTTTATAGTTCAAATTGTAGTAAATGTCATAATCTTTTTCGGCATGTTCTTTGGACGGACAAAAGTCCGTTTGTCAGTAATGGTTGCCAAACAGGCGCAACGAACACTACTGGTCCATAGAAAATCCTCCTCATTCTAACTACGAGAGTTAGCCCAGAAGTCGGAGACTTGTGCGGGAGAGGAGGCGGCATATTATTATTACGCAGGCCGCATTTGCGCCCAGGAACGACTTATGCCGGTAGGCCCTAACCACCAGTCAGTGCAGGAATGAGGGAAACCTGGAAAACTTCATAAATTAGGGGGGTGGTCAAATGCCAACCGGTGTCAATCTCTCACATTGACCCAAGCCAACATTCTTCCACCCTAACATACCTACACAGACGCTGCCAATCCTCCGTACAAGCATAGCTAATCTACGGTCTACCGGCCGCGGGATTCGAAACCCGGGCAGATCGACACATCGATTTAAGTACTGACGCCTTAAACCGTGCGGCAACCGCCCGTGTTAAAATTTGAAAGAAAACATCACAAACGCTTGTAATGAGTTAAACGGCGAAATGTTAATAAACGCAGAACACAAAGAAGACAGACGAAGATTGGATGTGTGTTTTGAAATGAGACAGGTCATATAGAGAATAGATTTTAATGCGTATGTAGTATGAAAGCGTTTGCCTCATTTTTTAAGTTTAGTTACTGTTATCATCACTTTTTGTTTTAAATGTATTAAATAATTATCGAGTTTAATTATTTATTTATTCTTAATGACATTTATGCACTTTAAACAACGAACATTTAATTATTTTCCA